GCGATGGGAGGGAAACAGTGAGAACACCCTGGGACATACACCGTCCATCTACATTGACGGCCATTCCGCTACGCGAATCACATTTCGGGATGTGGAAATTGAGAACGGTGATCAGTTGAAGATTATCGGTGTGCCCGACGGCATTGAACCTGCTCCGTTGGATTACGTGGTGCTGCTTCCACCGGACGTTGTGGACTAACTCGACTGTTAGTTACGAGACTTGTCAAGGGCTAGATATCATGTACTTGTTTTACGCAAGTCAGTCAGAGTGTACTGTAGGTCTTAATAAAATATACGTCTTTAGTTTGACAAGCCCGAGAGTGTAATACTTGAAGAAAATATAAAAGGTACCTGATATGAAATTCCCATGATAGAATATGAGATAGTACTCGCTCAACGGGTGAAAGTAAGTAAGTATTCACTCTATTAAAGAGATCTCTATTTGACCGAAACTCAAATATATACAACCGAAGGATAGTGCTTTTACACAGATCAAAGAAAAAGAATCAAACAGCCTCCTGTCCCTGGAGTCCCCACTTCAAGCGAGCAACACCACCCATCCCCACCATCCACACCTCACGATAGCCATTCGCATCGGACCAGATAAAGTTATTGACGGTGAAATTTGCCTGCACGCGTACAATCATGTCCCCATACTCATCCATCACGCTCAACCCGTTCCCAGCCGCCGTGACAACATAGCCATTTCGGGCAACCTTGAGTCCATCCGGAACAGACCCAATGGCATCATAGTAGATCGGCCTCTTGTTGATGATAGCGCGACCATCGTCAACGAGATCGAACTTATAGATTGTCCGGGTCCCAGTAATGTTGTATAAGATACCGGCTCCGCCGGGGCTGGGAACGTCGGGCGAGATGGGCGCCGAGAGCCCTGAGGCGGCCGAATCGCTGATGTACATGTGTCGACGGTCTGCACTGAGGGCGATCCCGTTGGGCGAGAACATGTCGTCGTTGGCGATGACTGTGGAGCCTGTGGCTGGGTCGAATCGGTATGTCCCGGACTTGAGCTGCGGGGGGATGTCGGCGAGCTTCAACCACCAGGAGTAATAGGGGGAGGTGAACCAGATGAAGCCGGTCTCTGGGTCGACGATGAGGTCGTCGCAGTCGGTGAAGGTCATGCCATAGTAGTTGTCTAGGAGGGTGGTGGACTTGTTGGTTGCCGGGTCTAAGGTGACGATTCCGGGGCGTTGTTCGCCGAGGCCGGGGATGGAGGCGTTGCTTCCTGCTACGGAGAAGTAGACTGTGTTGTTGTGGTAGAAACCTCCGTTGGGGATATAGATGGGTGGGTCGGCGGTGAACTGGGAAAGCGTGGGAGGGTCTTGGTTGAGGTCGATGGTGAGTTGGGGGAGGTTTGTTGAGAGCTCGGAGAAATAGATGCGGTTCTGGGTTGGGACGAAAACAGGGGACTCATGTATGTGATTAGCATCCACAGAGAAGACGAACTCCACACTGGGGGCGTCTCCTAGGACCTCTGCTGCGCGGGACTCGTCGAAGACAATGAAGCTGGCCGTTGATACATTTTGCCAGGAGGCATCTGCGGGGACTTTGGTGTCGCCATAGGTGGGGATGTCTCGGCCGTCGGGAGCAGCACGGTAGAAGGGATAGGGGAGATTTGCGGCATGTTGTTTCAGGCAGACGACACCAGGTGCCATGCAAGGGCGGACTATAGGGTAATTTTGAACTTCTGTTGAGGAGGGTAGGGATATCGTCGTTTCACGGGGAATAATCGCGGCTGCGTGGGCCAATGTGGTGGCCAGTGTTAGAGATAAAGCGCCATGATAGATCATAATGAAGGTGAGGAATTCAGAGACTCTGTTGCTCTGTGCGGTTTATCCCTGCTCTCAAGTAGGATGCAAGGGAAACGGCATGGTATTTATACTGGTTCACCCTCGCTCGGAGATGGTATAGATTAGTCTCGATGTAGTTCTCGGAGGTGAATGGACATGGACCCACAACGACATAACATGCCCGAGCTACCACACTGTTGGAAATTCTATATAATAGTCTTTATTAGGTCTGTGGGTTCGTTATCGATTAGATCCTGGGGCTAAACCTGGTGGGCTCGACAGAACCAGGGCTTGCTCAGTCATGAGGTTAACTCACCAGATGGCTATATCAGGTACTTATCCACAGGCTTAATCAATATGATTAGCATCGCATTCATATCATGGTGTTTCAGCCACTGTGGTCCCAGCTGCATAGGGCTGATATGCCATGTGCGTTTACCTATGCATGGTGGCCTGGGGCATGCAGGCAACCCTGGAAGCAGGTTCAGGGTGTTCATTGGCTCGGAGGGGGATGGTCGGTGGATCTGATCGATTGCCATTTTGCTCCGAGCCACTCAGGTTCTATGCTTGCGACCCATGCTGCCAAGCCCATAAATACTATGAGACCTATATAAATGACAGTACAGTGTAATTCGCTTAAACATCCGGGCCAGCTGTGTGTTGATGAGGTCTACCTCTGTGGCAGAGGGTCACCAAATAGGTAACCGGTTTATCCGGCACGTTGTCCATGGCTAGGGCTTTCAAATACCCACCAGAAAGATACCGGAAATGCTTGTCCCTCTGTATGAGCTGCCGATGGTCGATGTAAACAGGAATGCCCAACATTTTATTGACTTGTAGCGACTGGTATCCTGAGCAAAAGTCCCACATTCCGTCGATGATGGAGATGTGTGTGGAATTGTCTCTCGGGCCAGAAGAAGACGTTAGGATTCTATCAGTCTTTCTGAAGTTAAAGAAACGAAAGCATGGAGTCCAGAGCTTCTTACTCATAGCACAGCTTAGCGATTGCTGGTCTTCCGTCAGATATACATTGGGCGTTGCGAACCTCACTCATCATACCCCTCGACATATTCGACGCCGTAAGGGCGACATTCACCCGACAAGTGTCTAGGACCTCAGAAACACCATAATCAACGATTTTGACCTCCATGACCATTTGACATACTCCTTGGTCAATATTCGATCTAAGAATTCACATTTTCTCGCTGAACCCAAAGGGTTGCCCGAAGTTGAATATTAAGAAATAGACTAGGGACTCGGAGCTAAAAGTTCGACACCAAGTGCCAATACCCCGAGACTACTACCAATTGAAAAGCCTCTAGCTCATAGCATCCTACATCTACTCATAGGGGAGTTGCGCCATATTGGTTAGATAAAAATCCCTTGGATGACCTACTGGGAACCTGTGGCCAAAAAATGAGCGTTGCATCCTTGACTGATGGATAGGTCTTATTGTACATACTACCTATAACTAGGGATGACTAACTTCGATATAGGAGAGGTACTACGTTATAGGGATGACTACGGGCGGCTATACAGCTGCGCTTGGGTCTGCGGAGAAACCGTATTTCAGAAGCGGAGGGAACCACGTCAACTTTCAAGTATCTCCATCGAGTATGGGGCTCCCTCATAGGGAAATCTCATCAGACCCGGCTGAAGAATGTGCTTCTGGCTGTATACGCCATGAAGAACACAAACTGAAGGTATGGCGGTTCTAGGGTTGGTAGTAACCCGGAACGTGATATGTTCTATCTTGACGCAGGATGCTTGTTCAGCCAGAATAAAGCCCTATTATCATACGTTCCAGGAGGCGAAAAAACAAGTCTGTAGGTGTTCCTCAAGACGCTGTCACTAACCTGACCTCACTTGGGGAAAATAAAGACTTTCACAATGCAATCATGCTGACTACCACCATCCAGACCACTCCACTCATGACTCGGTTGGTAGTGCCCTTTATAGTGAGAACTACCAGTACCATTATGGTAACAATGTTGAATTAAAAAGGATTTGACCAAGGAGACTCAGGATAATCCGATGATAAAATTGAATAAGTCACAAAAGATAGGCTATACCGACCGATTGTCGGCCTCTGGTTCGGTCCGACTTAATGCGATTCTATTGATTTGAGTTTGATATAAAGTCTTCTTGGATTGAAACGTTGCTTAGGGAAGTATCGTGCTTCGAGCTAAATTCCTTGTGTTATAATATGATGCATACATTTGCAGGAACGACCAGATATCGCTAGCATTCAGTAACTATGTGGGAGGCAGAACAGTGGAGCGACAGGAAGAGGCCAGTACTGCGTATTCCGGACCTTTGGTGTTGACCAAGGGTCGCGGATCCTTTCCTGGGTCTGCGATGTGTACCGTTCGAACCGATTGATAATATCAAGCGGTATCAGTATTTAATTATGATACGGTTTCCGAGACTTGATTCCACGTGGCATGGCTGTAGTTTAGAATAGCCTGTGCATGCATCCTTCGGTCTGTCACGGTATCAACGGCAACATGCCATATATCAGCGACAGCATACAAACATCAACTGCTCGTCCCCACGTAGGGTAGCATTGACCCCCGCTCAGTAGTCCGAGTGATATAGGCTCATTACGAGAAACCCCCATCCATGTCACGTAATATCCCCACAAAGCCAAGTCGGCTCCACAACACTTTGTATGTGGGGGAGGTTGATCCTTCACGCCGGATCCCCGCAAAATTGGCAACGTACAATCCTTCGCGTGATAATTGACGTAATTGTCGCTTGGATGTAGGATCCCTTGGGTTTCCCCGTGGTCTTGACATCTCGTAATGGGATTATATGGCGGTGAGATAGTATAATAGCATTGTGAATTACAGCGGTCAGTTGCCGAACGCCAGGATATATAGCTTGTCTTGTTTATCGAGTCCCGAGACTGCCTTCTGTTGTTGAGACAGGACTGGGTCTCTAGAAAGGCGAAGCTAGTTTGCTCGCCATACAAAGAACCGGCAATGCCGATGGTATCTACCGTTGTCTTGGCTGAATTGGTCATGAGCCCTTTGAGTAGATATGGGGAAGGCCGAGTATAGGAAGCTAGCTGCGGGGGCTTCTTCCTTTGCCAAGGCCCTCTATGTTAAATAGGTGAGTATTTCTCCCCCGATGGAAATGGGTACTTCTGCAGCATAGGCCAGCATCATCAGTTTTCATATTGTATTCACAATGCGGATTGACAGTGCAGTAGCGAGCCTGGCAGCCCTGGCTTCAGGTTGCATGGCCCTATCCACGAGGGGCTACGTGCCTAGAAGCCATTCCTTGTCGCGACGCAATGACAGTGCTCCGATTTACAAGGATGCGTCGTATTGCATCGACGAGCGTGTTGAAGATCTCTTGGCCCGCATGACCATCGAGGAAAAGGCCGGCCAGCTTTTCCATAACAGACTATTTGATGGTCCTCTTGATGACGAAGGGAGCGGCGACAACGTCCACAACAGCACCGGCAACATGATCAGCGAAAAGCATATGACGCACTTCAACCTTGCCAGTGATATCACGAACGCCACTGAGACAGCCGAGTTCATCAATCGCATACAAGAGCATGCCTTGCAGACCAGACTGGGCATTCCCATCACTGTATCAACCGACCCCCGTCATTCCTTCACGGAAAATCTGGGTACCGGCTTTCAGGCTGGAGTGTTCTCCCAATGGCCGGAATCAATTGGCCTTGCTGCACTTCGTGACCCTTACGTCGTGAGAAAGTTTGCCGAGATCGCGAAGGAGGAGTATATTGCGGTTGGGATTCGCGCGGCTTTGCATCCTCAGGTCGATCTGTCGACTGAGCCGCGATGGGCCCGTATTAGTAACACCTGGGGTGAAAACAGCACCCTTACTAGTGAGCTCCTCGTCGAGTATATCAAGGGATTCCAAGGCGATACACTCGGCCCCCAGTCCGTGATAACGGTTACTAAGCACTTCCCTGGAGGAGGCCCCGTAGAGAACGGCGAAGACTCTCACTTTACATACGGGAAAAACCAAACATACCCGGGAAACAATATGGAGGAACACCTGAAGCCTTTTAAAGCGGCGATCGCGGCCGGGGCAAGGGAGATCATGCCGTACTATTCCCGGCCCATTGGCACGGAGTACGACCCCGTCGCTTTCTCATTCAACAAGCAAATTGTGACTGAACTGTTGCGCAATGAGCTCGGGTTTGAGGGCATCGTATTGACTGACTGGGGTCTCATTACGGATACTTATATCTTGGGGCAGAATATGCCTGCCCGCGCTTGGGGTGTTGAGGATCTGTCTGAGCTTGAGAGAGCGACAAGAATCCTGGACGCCGGCTGTGACCAGTTTGGAGGTGAGGAGCGACCAGAACTAGTTGTTCAGCTTGTCCAAGAAGGTATTATCTCGGAGGATCGGATCGATGTTTCTGTTCGCCGGCTGCTGAGAGAAAAATTTGTTCTTGGCCTATTTGACAACCCTTTCGTTGACCCCGAAGCTGCTGGCCGAGTTGTTGGGAATGATTACTTCGTCCGTCTGGGCAGAGAGGCGCAGCGGAGGTCGTATACTCTCCTCAGCAACAGCGTCGACACTGTCCCCCTGAAGAAAATTGAAGAGGGTACAAAGTTCTATATTGAAGGTTTCAACGCGAGCTTCATAGAATCATGGAACTACACCGTCGTCGACAGCCCCGAAGAAGCTGAGTATGCTCTTCTGCGGTACAATGCACCCTACGAACCTCGCCCAGGAGGCTTTGAGGCCAACATGCATGCCGGCTCCCTCGCATTCAACGAGACTGAGAAGGCCCGCCAGGCTAAGATATACTCGACCGTGCCGACGATCGTGGATATTGTTATGGATCGCCCTGCAGTTATTCCCGAGATTATTGAGCAGGCCAAAGCTGTCTATGCTAGTTACGGCAGTGATAGCAATGCGTTCCTGGATGTGGTCTTTGGTGTGAGCGCCCCGGAGGGAAAGCTACCATTTGATTTGCCCAGCTCTATGGAGGCCGTGGAAGCGCAAATGGAGGATGTGCCGTTTGATACGAGGAATCCGGTGTTTAAGTTTGGACATGGGTTGAGGTATGCTGATCGGTGTGCGAGTAGCGGTAAGAGTTCCTAGGCGGATCTCTGGGGTAATGAAGTCTCACAGAGCGTTGCCATAGGGGGCATACTCTAGTGGGATCAGTGAGAGATTCCTGATGTTATAAAGAGTTCTAAGTAGTATATTGATACGAATAATAGATCTAAGCCTACCACAACACCATGACAAGACTACTCCCTTTGTTCTCAGTAAATTGGATCAATGTAGGTCAGGGATGCTTCCACCATCTATACATAAACAGGCTATATATAACACACAGTACGGAATACTGATATGCATCTATTACCTCTAGAAAGTTACCTTCTACCGAGATAATTTCTATAGTACCCTCTCCATCATCCACCTATCACCTTACACCGGTATGAACCTAAGCAGAGCACTCCTTCTGAGATCCATCTGAATAAAAGTAATCCTCATTGATCTTGATCGACTCGGCGTACCAAGTCTTACCCTGATCGGAAGTCGTGAAGCCGCTCGACGTAGCGTTCGACAGGTTCAGCGTCTCACCGAAGTTGGGATCAGCCTCGCTGAGATGGATGGTGAGCTTGTCCCAGCTGTAACCAGCGACCGTACCACAGGTGCCGAGGTAGCATTCGTTGCTGGAGTAGAGGAAGGTAGGGTTGATAGATTTGTCTTTAGTGGTGTCAGGTTAGTGTCGCTGACTATGGCTAAGAGAATTTGTCGATGGAGGGAAACTACCGTCAGATTGCTCGGAGACTTGCTTTCCACCAATGGAAACCTGCTGGGTGATCTGCTTGTCATCGACAGTGACTGTGATCGTTAGTGTTTTGATCTCATATGGCTAGTATTTAAGGCAAGGTGTGGAGCTTACTAGTAAAGTCAAGCTGCGAGCCGTTGGGGACAGTGATATACGGCTGCTGGACTTGACCGGCTATTGAACACATGGATTAGTGCATGGCACCGATTCGTATAAGCGCAGTAACTTACACAGATGATAGGTGCTCGTGGCGACACACCACTCCTCCGCCGTAGCCGGACAGGCCCTAACATCAGTTAACAATTTTGTCCCATTGCGCCCTGACTTCTGTAATTGTAATTTCAAGTCAAACGTACTGGGACTCCTGGTCCGGCGACCAATTCAGCAAAGGTTGGAACAAATCCGCAGCCTGATCCGACATCGAGGCGGAAATACCGACCCAGATGGACAGCCAGGGGGCATCGTTTTGCTTCTCCTGGGTAGTACCACAAGGGATGGCTGGTGGGACAAGCGAATATGTAGCCTTGGTAATTTGAGCGTTGTTTGTTGTAGGTCCAACAGCAAACATGTTTCCGAAGTGCCAGTCTTCGTAGAGAGCGGCGGCGCGCAGCGCCAAGGTAAGGGGGACAACAGCGTATACGGAGCGCATTGTTACCAGACGATGCGAATGAACAGTACAGAAGAACGAAAGAAAGAAAGACTTACAGGAAAGGTATGATACTGCCGTTCTGAGTTGACGGTCGAGGTCTATATAAATGTTCAAGGTGGAAGTGGGCCGGGTTCTGTCTCGGAGATTGTTTCAGGATCCACTCTGGACTCCATCGACGGTAAACAGAGACATTCCCTGACGAGGATTGTCCACACACGGTATAAAATACGAAAATCACGGCTTAATTGAGCAGATCGCCCAGTTGTTGAGTTGCTAGAGGCGGCAGTACCCCAACAGGTACCACCCGGAAATTATTTCACCGTCAATAGTGAGACAGGAGCCTTGATTACAATCTGAGCCCTAAGGATTAGTCGAACAGCCGACAGTATGTAATCATCTTAATCAGATCGATTTATGGAGCAGTCACCTCCTTTCCTACAGAATACTTTCTGGATGTCATTGTATCAACAATATTGATTATGTAGCTCCATTAGGCCCCTATTCTGACCCAGTCATCTTGATCCTGTAGCCACAAGGTTCGCTTCAACTATCTAAGAGTCCAAGTCTGCGTGAAGCTATAATAAACATCATTGTTCTGTGCAATGGCATAATATTAGAGTTGACTACGCATGTCAACGTACCTGCCAAGTGCTTCTAGTACCATAGCTATGCAGATCTTTATAGAAACCGTTGCTACTACACCTATTTGAGCATTTTACGACTACTTTAATTGGGAAAGATGGTCGTCTATTCCTATCGGCAGTGCTCCACAGGCTCCATAGTCGGGTCTGTCGCCTCTCTGCCTCTTCCTTATCATCATTCATCGAGTATATTCGTAGGTACACAGGAAGTGAATGTGTATGTCCACAAAGGTGCAATGCATTTTCTATCACACAGTGCATGGGGTCAAGCCTCAGTAATGCGTAAATTAATAGGAATATGCTAATATAGCAGGAGGGACATCATGGGAATAGATGAGGCAATATTGTGGATATAATTAATTCATCGAATTTAGGCAGCACTCCTTCTGAGTCAAAGGTTCACTGTTATCATTCCGTGCAGAGTTGTCTTTTTCATTCCCTTCTTTCTCTCCCTTAACTTCTGTTTCTCCTCGTGTGCCTCTCCCAGAACCTCATTCCATCTTAAATCCTCTCATTCTATCATGAACCCATCATATATGATCTACCAGTCCAGCTAAGCTCAGCCCTGCCTGTTATATGTTTTACTAGTTTCCCGCTCTGTCGGAGCTTAGAAAGAATAATCTTTTTGACACCACCCCACTACAGATTGGTAGCATGACAAGTCTCACTGAAGCACGGCTGTCGAGTCATGGCAGCTTCGGGGCAGAGAAAGATACCTATAATGCCACCGCTATCGAAGTCATCCTTTTCGTCAGTTAGGATTGATGACTGGGCATTGTTGAAGCCTGAGCACTGGCATATTGACAATTTGATGGGGCTAGACATCAGGCAAGATTCATGTGAACGTTGCACTACCCAACGGGTCTTGGGGCGCTATCTAAAGGCATGGATTGTCGGATCGTCAACGCTTCTTGTCGATCTGATTTCCAGTAAGGCCTCGCTTCACAGGGTTGGCGTAGCTACGGGTTTCACTGCTGTTACCTGCAGCCCCACCTTTCTAGTTAAAGCCCTATTGTGAACGGGGTAGAGCACATTGACGTCTCACCAACCCAAGAGTTATCACCTCAACACTTACAATGCAGCATGCTTCGTGCAATACCTTGACCAGCAAGACGTCTGCCTGATCAGCCAGTGGGTAGCTGGGAGAATGATCCAGCCGTAGCCCCGGAGTCGAGGAGCAATCTTCACTCTGTCAAGGCCCTAACAAGCCCGCAGCTGGTGGTAATACTCGGCGTGACGAATCGACTGCACATGTGCCATTTATCCATCGCAGTATTCTCAGTTTCATGAGGCGTGCTGAAGAAGTCGGGTCCATTCCAGCCGGAAAACGCCCTTCTCCGACAGAAGACGTCACATAGTCGAAGAGGGCTAAACTACTCAAGCAAGAACCCGCCAATTATACAGATAAAGGTCTGTGAAGACCAACGAAGAGCCTAGATATACCCTCAACGATATCACCGAAGAAGTCCCCTGCAATCTGGAAGATGCCGACGTTATCCTTATCGATGACGAGGAGTAACCCAACGAGTTGGAGCATGAGGCTGCCACAAATTACGATGCTGAAATCGAGGATGACCTGTCGGAACAGGTTTACTAGGGGATAATGTTGGGCACTTCACCTACATCTAGGATGCTGTGCAGAGCATATAACAACCGTCGAGACTTGCGAACGCTTTGCGTAGGATTTGCGACTAATAGCCCGCCAATAGGCGTCTGGTATGGTGTCAAACTGGAATATACAGTTTGAACAAACCGCTGTAGGAGATGAAACAAAGATTCAGGGTGGCTGTGGTCAATTGGTCAACCACAAAACGTCGGCGGTATTCCTCTCACAGAGGACGGATATTCAACGCGGAAAGGTGCAAGTCGTCCGCCGGGGACTCCGAGGACATACGCTATATTATGGTTCGCTTGGGTTCTTTAAATTAGGCGCTTATGTTTAAAAACGCGTAAGCCTGATCGTTTGGTAAACTCTCAGTGTGTAGCGAATTATGTTATGGGGAGCTCTTTTCCAGCAGAGGCTGGTTGTAACCTAATATTGTTCAGTATAGAAGTTCCAAGGCTATGAAAGGTCCATTCGCGTGTGAAATCAAAGTTCTATATAATTCTTGGTTGTTTTCGCCCCCGGAAAAGTCGGCCGTTATGGTGACGATTTGCGAATGACGATGAGATGAAAAAGCACAAGGCTTCACCACCGCGATGCTACGTAATGTTTACGTAGAATTCATATACAGTCCTTAAATAACCCATGCTGCTATTCAAGAAGATATAGCCTCACTAAATAGAAGCAATGACCCTGTGTAATTCGTACACAGACCTCTTAATCATTGGCGCTGGACCAGCCGGCCTCATGGCCGCTTGCTGGGCACCGCAATATGCAATTACAACCCGACTCATCGACCAAAAGATGAAGCCAACAGCTTCAGGGCATGCAGACGGTATAAATAGTCGAACTATGGAGATCTTTGACAGTTTGGGGGTGGCCGACCTTGTCATGCGTCAGGCGGTTGACAACATGGACTCGGCATATTGGGTACGTGGCAACCACAGGATTTTTACATGGAACTTCTGTTCGCTTGCAATAGGGCCCGGATGAGAAGACAGGAAATATCCGACGAATAAAGTGCCAGCAATCGCAGCCACACGACCTTTCTCGTTACGATCAGATGTTGCTGAATCAGGGTGTCATTGTACAGGTTCTAATTGATTATCTCCACTCCAAGGACGTGTACATGTGGACAGAGGGCGGAAGACCGAGGGATTGGACTTACATTCTGGTTCCGACCAGAAACGTGATGATGAATTTCCTGTCCATATTCGCATAGTATCTGCAATGGCAAAGGTGAATATTGGAGACTAAACTTCGGACATCTACTCTTTGAGACAGGGATGCTGAGTCTATGTTAGATGGCCAACCTGGCAATGCCGGAATAGTCCATGCACGATAGGTGATTGCCTGTGATGGAGCGCGTAGCTGGACCAGCGCACAGTTGCAAGTCGAATCTGATGTGTGAAAAGCGGAGTCTACGTGGGGTGATCGACATTGTTCCAGAAACAGATTTCCGTATGCAAGGCGAGCATCCTTGTCAGGAAATATGGGAGTAATACTACGGCTGTCGCCCGAAGTATTCAATGGCCGATTTAACAACCACTTTCCCTCGCAATCGACAAAAGAACACATAGCCCCTAGAGATAATATAAATTCATTCCGGTCCATGAGCGCCCCTTAGCCAGTTGCAACTTTGGGAGGCCTTTCATCCATTCGACAAGACGGTCGGGTGGAACCATGCGAAGGTATTCGCTGATGATCCCTCGTATGACGGAGATACAGGGCAGGTATACGAACAGTACAGCCTTAACAAGCAAAGAGGCTGTTTGGTTATTTGCCGACTGGATCAGCATGTTGGCTGGACTGGGGATATAGAAGATATAGAGGGTCTCGGAAAGTTCTTCTCCAGGATTTTCATTAGAAAAGAAAGCCAAAAGTATACATCGTGACATACATATGGCGGAGAAATTAGATTTACAGTACAAGCTCAGCAACAACCAAGTTCCACATAACTAGATGTGGTGTACCAAGGAAGATTCTTCAATTCATGTAAAATAATTTACATGCTGATCAGCCCTAGAGCGCATTGTGTATCCACAGGACAGCGTAAAACTTTACAATACCTCCCTCAACGCTTTTCCGAAAGGCATTCGCCGACTGCCGCGGCGGGTCATGGGCACGAACGAGCATGATGATGCGGTTATAGCTGGTAAATTCCCGGTGGTACTCTGTGGATTACCGCAGCCTGTCATGGTTATTCTAAGCCAATTGATGGTATGAGTCCGGCTAGGGTGGTCAGCGCTTTTCTTTCTAGCTTCTCACGGTAGCAGGTATGCAGGTAGGGGACCGTCTTTCCACACAGCACAGTACCACTTCTTGATTACAGAAAATCACACTGTAGAAATGAAAGGACGCCTAATCGCCAATGACCAGTCGTAAAACTTAGAACAAATGTTAGATATGATCAATTTGTGTTCGTCCCATCTGCGGCTTCTGCACGAAGAGATATTGCAAGAAGTATAGGTCCGAGGAGTTTCATGCTGGCAACATCCAATGTATTCCACGGACCGAATTGGTGCATTGTCATGAAAGAATTGGATCCGCCTTGATCATTCTTGTCGCTCAAATATCTGATATATTCGTCACCATACTTCGCAACCGTCAAAAATATTTCGTGCCGGTCTTGGGAGACAATTATGCGCCTATCTTCGATTAGCATGGGAGTAGCATTGGGGGTACAAGGAGTAAAGAACGAGGGTTATACATCTGTTCGACTCCGCTGGGCTGTTCGCCATCGCTTTTGATCCAGGCTACCATTTGGGCGCTCTCCTGCATTTGGATCGAAGCCTCCTTCTTTGATCGTGTAACAGGTTTCACCTCGACAATAACTTTCGCTTTGCCTCGGCGATCATCGAGATATCCGTCGATCCTTGCTTCGAAACTAGCCTCCTCAAAGTTAGCTTTGAAGGCCTTTCTGTGTAGCGTCCATTTATTGGTTAATTTGAAATGCATGGTCAGGGCATTCAGGAAGAGGATCAGTGCACAGTTCACAATCTGCTCATCCTTTGTGGGAGGGTACAGCACGTTTTCCAGTTCTTTTGGACCAGGTGTTATAGGTTGGAATGGACTCGGGGTCTCATGAACTGGGGTCTCATGAACCGGGGTTTCAAGAACTGAGGTCTCCTGGACAACAAAGGGATCGTCGAGACTAATATCTTCAAGGCTGAGTACTTCGGATATATTGGTGGACTTTGAGGGGGTCTCCACATGGGCGCCGACTGCCGGGTTACCACGTTCACGGGCACGGGCACGTGTTCGATGTGCGATAGGAGTTACAAAGGTTTGTAGATCTGTGTCATCTTGGGTATCAGTAACCTCAAGTTGATACTGCCGGGCAACGGCAAAATTCCCTTCTTCAATATTCGGACTAAAAAACGCCCGACAATATGTCCCCCATGACTTATAGCCTCCTAGCATTGTATCCGCCTCCGAAATCCACTCGCTGATGCCAGACAATATTCTCAGTAGCTCATCTATAGGCCGCGGAACCCATAGAACATGGAATAGCAGAAATTGCTCTTGTTCAACTTTAGAGGCAGAGGCAAGCTTCGCACCGTGTACAGTCTGGCCAGTGAGATTCATCCTAGCCATTGCATCCTCCCATTGCTTGATATCTCGGGGCAGCCTCTTCTTGACGCCAGACATAATGTCTCTTCACAGATAGTAGCAATAATATAGCCGGATAAAGGACGCCCAACGAGTTTATCCGCTTGAATTTAAGCAGTTCGGTTGAAATTGAGGATAGATGAAGTCAAGGAATTGACACCGACTAGTGCCCCTTATTATATCCCTGACACGCGGCATCTTCGAGCTGTAAATCCAATTATAGCTGTTCCTATTTCTGTCTCAACAAAAAGTCCGGCCCAACCATTCGAACTGAGGGGATGAACCTGTCCTTCTATTGGGTCAATTCAGCCTCGTCAGCGCGTATGGGAATGTGCCTTGGGTGGGCTGGTGAGGGGTTTGAAGTACATGAGTGAAGTAATGGGATCTCTTGCATGGCTGGGGCAATTGTTGGGCGCTTGTTATTTCATTAGAACAGGCCCCCATCACATTGATTGGCAACTACTGTACTACTTCAATTCACAACAGCATGCACGTGATAGGCTGTGAGAAAGGTCCGTGACTTGGGACCCACAGCATAATGTCCTCTTATTGGCAGCACTTCGGTCACGGCACACTAAACCCCTTTGGTTTGTTGATTCCAAAATTGGAAAACAAAATCCCGATCTGTTCAGGACCGGAGGACATAAATGACCCTCCATACCTCCTCCACTTCCTTCCCCTTCCACGGCTCAATTCGATTCACACCACATTCCCACACCCTCATTAAGCCTTTTTTTCCTTCGCAGATCTTCATCATGTCAAAACCAGTAGAATCCAGGGCCCGCCGCAACATGCGGGCTGCATTGCAGGAATTAACGCGAAGTGTTAGAGACTCGGGATCCGCGGAATTTAGTCACCAGGAACTGCAAAAGAATTACAATATTTGTGTTGATCCCATGCGTTTGGATGAGGCATCACCCCTCAAACCGTCCTACTTCTCTCCCTACGGAGGCCAATTTGCAGATCCCAGTCCCGATACTCTTGGAGGGTCTTACAATGGCCAAGATGATGAAACAGAGTACTCTTTGACTCGCCCTGTCGATCGCGCATATGTGATGAATATATACCTTTCGTCTTATATGTCATTCTGCGATAGATTCACCAATGGAGAGAGGACCCCTTGGATTTCAAGATGGTAGGCAACCTACAATAATTCTGCAGGTCTTTGTTCACCCAGTTTACCTAGCGTTGGCGACACCCCGTTTCGCGGCTTATTTAAGTACGAGCAACCTGAGTTTGGGTGCTACCAGATCACATATCTCGATGGCCCCTCCTACCCACATGTTATGGCTGTCATGTATAATAACTTGGTCGCAACGGATGACACAGTGCTCTGCGGGGAGTTACTTCCAATCCTCCGGATTATGCTTGCACAGCTCATCAAGAAGCAATTCGTTCATCAAATGGTCTCACCGGTAAGTACTTGGGTATTCTGGTTAGTATTCCAACATTTCATATTTAATACTGACATATGGCAGGTCTTAATTATCTCGCTCATGGGACTGAAAGCCCGTGTAATTGAGGCTTTTTTCAAAGACCAGAGGCTAGTCGTGCGCCCAACCAAGATGTATGACTTCACCCACGGGAACGATGCAGCTTTCAAACTCTTTGTCCAGTGGTACATGGGACAGCCGATTGGTGATACTGTTCAGACCCCATAGGTATCGATAATGATTTCTTTCTCACGTGCTAGGTGTTATTGTTGGATTATCAGGAATGGGAAAAATGTGTTTAGTACCTGGCGCATATATTGTCTTTTCTTAGTGCCATGTGGTGTTTTGGTTGATTGGGATTGACATGTTTTACCAATGTGGGACTGACGAACCTCGGTGTGAAGCTGGTTCTTGACGCTAGAACGGACTTTGTAGTTTTCGTGATGTACCCAATAAGGGCTTTGATAGCAGTCTTGCTTTAATCATTTCATTGGGGCATTCCTAATTCAGGTGGGCGGAATTAAAGTAGCACAGAGAAATGATGTTGTATGTAAAAGACAAGAATACAAAACATTTTAGGGTTATATGGCCTCTGGATTTCGACTAACTAGAAAGGGACTAGCCCAAGCTTGGAAGTAGGGTTCGAGATAATGTTGAAGTGTATACTCCATTCCGTGGAAATGTATTTCGGGAGGCATTATACAACCATGGAGTGCTTCATTCAAGCTTTCAGACCTTATCTTGTTATAGGCTGCAGATATCAAAAGATTTATCTCGACTCTACTCTTCATGGAGTCAGGTATTCGGAACATCTCTATTACCGCAGGCGACCGAAAGCTGCGACGGGCTGGAATCTTTGTATTATTTATACCCGTCCATGCGACTTCCAACCTGCAGACCTTGCGGTTTTTATATGTAAATGAAGTAGACAGCCATCAAAGAGGATCATACATTTTTATAATTTAACCGTAAGTTTGTTGTTTCGCATGGTGAGTATATTAGTATCGAGTTAACCTGGATTCGTCCAACTGCATGATAAAAGTATTATTATTACTGGTACTTCTAATTTGGATGTAAGCCCAATCACATTAAATGCATATTCACTTAAATTACGAATCGTCGCCTCTTCCCCATCGAATTAATACCATCATTATGGCCACCGACCACACTCCGCGGAGACTCCTGGGTGCACCTTCATTGCTTCCCCAATTATGACCCTGTATACATTCTCTACCTCCACAATGTATACAGCATTTGGTAATTGAGGTAAGATGGCCCGGCCTGTAGCACCTTTTTATTTTAAAAAAATTATTTCTTAGAATGTTGTTTAGATTTTAACGTCATATCTTCAATGAGGAACCATTTGTTGAATTCCGATAGACATCACGTTCATTCTTGCCCATGGATACACACTTCGACTTGGATTACATAGTGCAATTAGGTATTTTCTACTGAACAGCTTATCATGCATGGAAAAGGCAGTAAAACCCTGACTGCCTCAGATCCACCCTGACCAGTCTCACGAATTTCTGAGGCAAGTCGGGGCTACGCCCGTGCTTCTTCCTAGGCACTCGGTGGCTGTTACAGAGTACGTTGCTAGTATCCACACACCTGCCAGGGTCCATCCATGGGGCTGATCATGTCCAATATGGGCGCGGGGAGTTGTTTCGCCAAGCTTTGCGTGTCTCCATAAAGGTGGCTGTCGGGTATGAGATCCGACGTTACCGCGAACCGCGAACGAGCAAAGCCTTCATAGCAGTTCGTTTGCGTTGGATACGACAGGAAGGTTTTTGGACGTTCAATATCTGCCCTATTGATAAGGCCTACTATGTGGTAGTACATGCCTACCGAAGTATCACAGACCTACACCGATTGACACAGCATGAGCAGTTGAGATCGCCAATAGAAGCCGGGCTAATACGACCCCCGTTCAGGAGGAGTTCGCGTAATCACATCCAACCGATGGGCCGTGTTGGATTGGCACAGCTATCTGAGACACCATCCCGCGTACTAGGTAATTTAGTCGCGACACATCCCGTCACCTAGCAAGACCCTTCGTCTAGCACCCCTATTCTTCCGGAAACAGCTTACGTCCCACGTCCTCTATTTAAACAGTAGCCATGCCGGGGTATTGCGCCCTTGGTGGTGGAACATTGCATCGCATTCCCCAGAAACCATCCTATGATTGCTGACCCACTGTGTTCAACATGCATTTCAGCCACGCGAAGCTATTCCTCTTCTTCCTTAGCCTGTCCACGTCGGCTGTATCCCGGCACACTGGTCATAAACACACCCGAATTACCGAACGACAGGCTCCCGCCTGTACGCCAACTGCTGGCGGATCGCCCACTGTTGATGATGTACCAGCCATTGAGTCGGCCATGGCCGCTTGTCCCTCGGGCACAATCATGATTCCAGCGAAGTCTACCTACCATATCAACTCAGAACTTTCTTTCACCAAATGCACCGGCTGTACCTTACAAGTCGAGGGAACGCTGTTGGTGTCAGATGATACGAAGGCCTGGAGCGGCAAAGACGCGGTCTTGAACCTCGAGGACGTCCAGGGCGTCAGCATTGTTTCGAAAACCGGAACCGGTGTGATAGACGGCAACGGACAAGCCGCCTGGGACCTCTTGAACCAGGACAAGAATTATTCCCGTGTCAAGTGTCTACTCTACCTGACCGGCAAAACTTCCGGCGTCACCATTTCGGGACTGACGATGAGGAACCCGCCAAATGTCTTCTCGTCCGTCAAGCAGAGTGTTACGGACGTTACCTATTCCGATTTGATTCTCACCGCTGTGTCCAAGAGCGATGCGTTGCCGAAGAATACCGACGGGTTTGACCTTGGCGGCACTGGCATCCGCATGGAAAACATCAAAGTGGAGAACGGCGACGACTGCATCGCCATCCAGAATGGCGCGGAAGATATCACGGTGACCAACATTCAGTGCACGGGATCCCACGGCCTCAGTATCGGAAGCATTGGCAAAACGGCCGGCGAGGTTGACACCGTCAAGAATATCCATTTCAAAAACGCGAAAATGACCAAATGCTCCAAGGCCGCTGGAATCAAGATCTACTCTGGAGGATACGGCACCGCCGAAGTCAGCAACGTCACCTGGGAGAACGTCATGGTGGATGGTACCTCGTACGCCTTCCAGGTCCAGAGCTGCTACGGGTCCGACGAGAAGGAATGCGCTTCTCAGCCTAGCACCGCGAAGCTGACCGACATTGTTGTCAAGGGGTTCAGCGGCAAGACCGATAAGGACGAGCCGGTCGCCAGCATCAATTGTCCAGCCAAGGGCACCTGCGGGCTTTCGCTGACTGACATGAAAGTCCAGTCCGCCAATGGAGGCCAGGAATACCAATGTTCCAACGCCGGATCGATTGGTGTCAACTGTGTCCCAGGAGCCAGTGGCTAAGCTGGCTTGACAGCGGGAGCAGTCGGTCAGTGCTGAGTGGTAGTCCTCACGAAGTCCCATTCAGTGTAAGACCCGGGTGGTCGAAATGAAGAGCCGGCCGCATTTTAGCTCCTCTATACGTACGCTCGTTATTTTTTTTTTTTCATACTAGATTTCCATTGACTAATAGAATCCACTGTTGTATACAAATCCACCGCTGCTTGATATATACAAAATGTCAGACCTATTCTATGTATACACTGTCATTCGCGAGCTAGATCAGGCGCTTTCAGGACAGTAAAATGCGGTCGTAGGGCGATCAGCAAGGGACAGGCAAAGCGCCATAGATAGCCGGTGCATCGAAAAGTCCCAACTCAGCGTTACGGCGACGAGTAAGCCCGTTGACGACTTGCCCGTTGGCCTTATTCCATTGCGGCAGTTCGTCATGTGCGACAGCCACCACATCCTCGCCCTTGTTCATGCGGGCGACAAGATCCGACTTCTGCATGTTGCCATTGCCGACGTTGTATGTCCACGAAACAAGGGCAGCGTATTGGTTGTCATTCAAGGTGACTGGGTCCGCCAGGGCATTGGTGAGGGCGTTTTGATAAGTCTATTTGATATTCAGCACGTCTGTGTGTATTTCAAAAGCGCAAGATTGTTGCATGGTAGTAACTTACGACCAGATCGTCACCCAGGAGCTTGCTGGCATCCGCCTCGGACAATGGCTTAGGGTAGGTCACCTCAGAGCAGGTCGCATCGCCACAGAGGTGGCCATAACCGATGGTCGGGTTGCCAAAGCCATCGTCGTACACATTGGGCTCGAATGATTCAAAGCTCTTGATCAGATTAAGGCCGTTCTGGTTGACGGGGGGCCCTGTGCAGGCGACAGCAAGGGCTGGGAGGAGCACGGCCAGAAGCTTGAACGAGGAAGACATTTTGGGCGGTATTTCGGAGGTTTTCGTGCCTGCAGGTCTTGTTTGACTCACAGCCCTGCAGACCTTCTTATGTTTCTCCCCTCGTGGGGCGGCCGTCTTGTGTATCCGCTAATATCCCGTAGCGCAGCTCAAAATACGAAGCAGCGTGAAGATCGATATTTCTTGAACACGAGATCGCCCGCCCCTTGAAGCGCGCAGATTCGGCGATAAGGTTCGTGATCGACATCGTCCTCCGCTTGAGCAGCACAGAGACTACTGTATCCACACTTCAGGGTCTTTAGAAAAGTTCAGTCTAACTGGCTAATCAACAGATGTGCCATCTATACATCTTCGCGGATCAAAGTTGGGCATCGCACTAGACTTCGTACTAGCCGTTGATCTTCACCTGCATGCTCTCTTATAGACCTCGAATGGCTATGATCCTCGCGCGGTCCCTGTCAATACGAGGTTACAGCCACGTTGACGAAACCTTTAATTATGCCGGTAGAGTCACTCTGTTCGCTATTCTTAGCATATCTACCTAATGAACAATTTTGACTGTGGTTCAAGGTAGCAATTAAAAGTTGGCCTCTAATAGCTGATATTGATGGATCCGGACTTCTAGAATATTGTTCCATGACAACGATAGTCTACCTGCTCGTAGAACGTCAAATACCAGTTCCCGAAGTACATGGAGTTGTGAGGGGGCGTGATAGCAGGTCAACGTCAACTCGTCATTCGTTGTCCCGTAGAGTAGTGCAACAAGGAGCCACAGGCTCGTGCGAGCACTTCTCCACCTTTATACCACACGGCTACCTGCCTGAATGACGTCCACAGTTCTACCTCCCGGCCCTGGAGATACTCAGATGTGTAACCTGGCAGGTATCTCAGTCGGAGGTCCTGAAGAAGTCAGACTAACGGTGTGGGTTAACAGCCCTGCTATATAGGACAGTAGTCACAACTGGGGATGATCCCCCTGTAAAGAGCAGATCCCTCGTGTATCCGACACCATAGGACAATGATAGTGTGTGATGATGATTTGAATAGAACCTCATTACAAGGCCTAAAGGAGATATCATGAAGGGACAAAGCCCTCAAGCGCTAGGCCTATCTAGGCAAGTGGCGTGTCGCGGGGGCTTTTGACAGCATTTAAACCGCGGAATTTTCCAGACTTCCTATGGTCAACTACTGCAATTTTTGACACTCCACAATCTCATACGCTTTCTAATCTCTTGTCCATAACTTATCATAAGTAGCAATGTCCGGCTCTGGCAGAGGCTACTCATACACCGGCTCTGGCACCAACAGCCAGGTGTTCACCCATTCACCAGCCTTTTCTTCATTATAATATCCCGCCGCAGAAGTTATAACAATAGGTCTATACACATATCTAGTTACTAATCTCCTTTGAACCCAGGGTAACCACTATTGCTCGCGAGACTACGGAACTGGGTCGGGTTCGAACGGTTCTGGTCGCGGTGATGCGTACCACTACTCTAACAGGTCACTATGCTTCTCAAAACATCAACTACCCAGCTGACACACAATATCAACGGATCGTACTACTATTCCAACTCCAACGGAAGTACCTATTACAATGATGGCAAGGGCGGATCGACCTATACCCCTGCCGGTGGGAAGAAATAAAGGGGCCGGCAATGTCTTTGGTGACAGAGCTCTGGATTAGAGATTTGTTGCTACGGTGGATATGGATGCTTTGTGGAAGCTCTGCAGCTATCGATAAGTCATCTGATACTTCGATGTGACCTGACTGTCCATCTTCTTCTCTGTATCCCAGAAATTGCATTAGTATGGCAATGAGCAGTCATAGCCGGCCTACATCCTGCCAGTCCTAGGGGCAATATCAATGGCTTATTTATGTGGACTCGTTTATTTCCAGAACTATACTTATAGTTTGCCTATGCAGTATTCTTCTACGCTTGATTACACCGCTGCCATGAGATCTGTGCTCAGGGAGGAGTAGGTTTCCTAGCTTCCTGAACCGAGATATTCTTTTCCTATTACACTCGACGTTTCATACTTCGCATACCAGAGGCTGCTTCGAACGAGATGAAACCTCTAGAATATAAGCATTTAATCGTGAACCCCTGGGGCGATGTAACAGAGGTTTTATTATCAAGGGTAGCTAGCCTGTCAACTGGGTAAGGGTACATAGACTGAAAGAAAAAGAAGTCTCTGTTATTGGCTAAATTGCAAGACACAACACTATATAACAGATTCTTGCTTCTCTTGTTTCGGGCTGAGTCTGTTCCCGGATAACTTACGCCCCCTTGCTTGATAAGGTGCTGGGATTAAAAATAGGACTGATCGGCCAGGTGGTGCTTTTCCAGGCTGATTCAAGACTGCAAGAGAGACCGGGGAATATGTATGAGGAACCGGGTTGTTTATGGGGGGCAGGTGGCTGACAGGTGGATTCTATATCATTGCCGCGACAGGCAAATTCGAAGATCTGAACTTAGCGTACAGACTATGCACGTCTAATAATCCCCGGAAGATTGTTCCAGACCCACTGACTAAAGATTGTCTCGGACTAAGAATACTAAGAAGATGAGGGTGATCTGAGGGCAGGAATAGCCAATCTCAGTCAAGAGGTTTCGTGGAGACTGGTCGATCTAGCTAGTATGGCATTTGGTTCTGATAGCACTCAACATACATTTCGGACTACCAATACCATTCAAACCTTTGGATTCAATCATCCTATTTCCATACTATGTATGTAAAGACTGGCAAATAATGACTGGTCACATTGCATTTTTGAGGTGTTGCGTTGGTATGTGCCCCTTGCATGCGACCCCTGGGAACCGGAGTTCTGCACAACTCCTGACTCGCAAATCTGTTAATTTCCCCTGTGTCCCCTTATCTGCGACCAGAAGAGAGAGCAACATTTGGACAATAGTCATTGTTGCATACCGGGTGGCCCTGGCGGCAAACCTATACATATCATTGGTTTGCGTATTAGCACATGTGTCTACTCTGCCGACATGCCGACCAAGCAGCTAGCGCTGATATGCGCGCTCAGTCTGCTCTACGCACATGCGACTGCAGTGACGGACAGTCTGACTCCCCCAGTCTCGCTGAAACAATGCCTAAACAATACCGGCGCGACGGTGGTGTACCCCGGCGACTTGGACTATGATGCACTAGCACGCTCGCAGAATGCAAACTATCAGCCGCATCCAGAGGTTATTGTGATCCCCACGTCGTCGGAAGAAGTAGCAGCGAGCGTACGCTGTGTGGCCGCTGAGAACGGGAGCGTCAAGCTCAGCCCGCGGGGAGGAGGTCATAGCTATGCTGCGTACAGCTCTTCGGGTGATGTAGTCATTGATTCCAGTCGCATGAAAGAGATCAGTTTCGACGATGACAAGAAGGAAGTTACGGTGCAATTTGGTCAAACCTTGGGTCCATTGGCGGTTGCGATGGGTCAGAAAGGATATGCCCTCCCACATGGGACGTGTCCTGGAGTCGGGATTGCCGGCCATTCCTTAGGTGGAGGCTGGGGGTTCACATCACGGAAATGGGGATGGCTTGTTGACCATAGTAAGTGTGCCACAATATGTGCAAGAGCCAGACACGTAGTGGGCCCTTACTCAGAAACAGCGTGTTAACTTGGCTGTTAGTCGTGTCGCTCGAATTTGTTGATGTTGAAGGGAATATCACACTGCTTAACGCTAGCTCAGTCGGGATGGACGGCGAGTTGTGGTGGGCATTGAGAGGAGCTGGAGCCAACAATTTCGGCATTGTGACTTCATTTACGTATGCTCTGGAAGCAGCCCCCACGGCAGTTGTGAACTATGGGATCAGCTTCTCGTCCAAGTCGGCCTGTGCAGGAGTGCTATTGGCAGTCCAGGAGTTCGGTTCTATCTCTGCCAACGATGCCGATGGCCTTCCGGTCGAGCTGGGTGGAGAGGTCGTTATACCTGATGCAAATACTTGCACTTTTACTGGGCAGTATTTGGGAGAACGCGCCGCATTTCTGTCAGTGCTCGATAGATTGTTGGGCAAACTTGCAGACCGCGGAATCGAGCCAGTCAATTCTACGTCCTACATCAAAGAGTTCGACGACTGGATCGCAGCTCTCACAGACCTGATGGGCTCGTTAGATCAGCCTAGTACTCCCCAGCCATACTACGCTCAGTCCCTGGTGGACGATGGTGCCCCCAATTATGCATCCTACCGTGCGGAGCTCATCATTGACGCTATTGAAGACACAAAACTCCTTAATGCTACAGAGAATCATGTGTCCTTTGATTTGAATGGACCAGGCTCAAGAACGAACCTTCAACCGACGTCCGGCGATACATCGTTTATTCATCGCGAGAGCTTGTTTCTGGTCCAAATTTTCTCATATAAGTTTCCTGGCTTCAATAATACAGATGCCCGTGATCAGGGTCTCCAGACAATTACGAATATTGCAGACACTATCAAACAAGCCAAGCCGAGTGGCCAGTGGCACGCCTACCAGAATTATATTGATCCATATTTGGGTGATTTTGGACAGGCGTACTATGGTGCGAATCTAGAACGTTTGAAGTCGCTCAAGGCCATCGCAGATCCAGATATGGTATTCGATTTCCCGCAGGGGCTAGGACATGCTTGAAAAGAGCCAATTGTAACTCCGTCGTTGTATACATGGAATACACCAGTTCCCTTTTCCTTCCCAACATATTTTAACACAGTGAGACTCGCTCAATTCTGACGGCCAATTCCGTATGGGTACTAGCTTATTTCCATGGTCCATTTCAAATCAAACGGGGCTATGTCAACGTGGAAGCCCACTTGTTAGTGTTAGTTATCCTTTGAGTTCTGACTAAAGGGTTCCTGGTTCTAGAATACATTAGAGTACCACTCCGAATTCCAGACTTTCAAGTGATTGCTAGTAAGCCAATCATTATCCTTTCCGCGATGAACAGCATTCTACTGATTCCTCCAAACCATGACAGTACAGATCTCAAGTGACTCTGAACAGGTTTCCTCCGCCGGCAAGTCTTGAGTTATATACCATACTAAGGTAGTATTGCATGACAATGGTAGACCTTGTTGTAGTTACTCCATTAGAATGCGGTGGTTCCAAGTCAGTATTAGTCCCAATAACCGCGACACAATTCAAAAATTGATATCTTGACCTACCAGGCCTCAAGAGAAATACAACCCAGGATAGCATAGTCCTAAGCAACGAATGGTACATATAATACACAAAGCAGTTCAATTTCAGCGAGCTTTTTCTGACCTTCTGGATACTGTCACCCTCACCCGATCGTAGCATCACAGTCCATCGCAGCCCTGTCCATATCACCAGCACCCACAGTACTAATAAGATACTAACTATGCTAAGCCTGCAGAATCTCAGCCGCTGTCTACATCTAGAAAACTAAAAGTTTCTGAAACACACCGACTCTGATCATTGGTTTCTTATAGCACTGCCATTCTGTGGGGGTTTGGGGAGCCCTGCCAAGCACACGCTACACTCGTCTCCGAAGGTGGAAGATCCACAATCATGCCTTGGCTTCAGGGAAATAAGCCTCGCCAGGCAGACATATTCTGCCCATACGCTGTAATCTCGTTAGCAGATCCTTTTCCCCTCTTTTGAGCGCGCACTGGCCAAGCTTTCGAGTCAATAATCTTACGATACTTTATCATCCCTGTTCATTCATGGAACATTGTCAGATTTTTGGCTAGCTAATTGATCCAGTCAAAGAACGGCCGCCTCAGCATCTGAGGTTTTCCTTTTCTCATTATACTATTCGGCTGAGTTCGTATCATATTCTAGGATCCAGTTATTAACCCGATTATTCATCCTGCTATGCACATCTTTCGGCAACGTTCGTTGGGATCAGTAATCATTCATAGTTTCTTGATTACATGCTGTTGGTAGACATTATGTTTAGTCCATGGTCTACATGAGTTCCAAGCCCGGTATATTTTGTGATCAAAAACAAGTGTACGTGTACAGATCTGCAGTAAGAAGGATCACTACCAAACCAACCACACCATGATTGCAATCCATGCCACGCCCACCAGTAAAGTTACAATCCAAGCGCCCGCTCGATCACCGCTTGTAATCTTGCGGGGTGGCTCAGTCTTCCTCGATTTGCCTCCAGTCCCTGCATCGGGGTCACTCTTGCTCTCGCCTCCAGTGGAGGAAGTTACAGGCTTCTCATCCGACTGAAGCATAAGATTCGCAGTAAAAATGCTCAGCGAGCTCATCTGGGTCTCCAGACTGTTCTTCCCATCCCACTTATCCTCGTACCATCGGACCCCACATTCGGTCCCATCCTCGCCGCCGGAACACTGCCTCGCTGCGGCTTCCGCCGACCCTTGGAGTCGGGGGGTAATCCGCTCCGCGGTGGACGGAACCAGCGTGGCTGTGTAGGCCATCCAGATGGACAGGAACCCTTTGAAACACATCTGATTCCTGTCACAGGTCTCGATTGTCTCGCAGGATACCTCGGACAGGACCGTACCGTTGTTATACATCGGCGGGAAGAAAATTCGGAGGGAGGCGTTGAGTAATCCATCGACGGCGTCGAGCCATTTCGGGTCACCGTTTGTCTGCGACATAGTATTAGCGTGGCTCTTACCTCGTATCGTCTTGAAGCAGGAACCACTTACAAAGTTGTACATATATGCCGCCCCGCTAAGCAACGTCCCGTAGTTGTATGTCCACTGTTCGTTGCCATTAGTCGTACAGTCGTTCGTCACAGACGTTGTATCGGCAACATTCCACGTCTTTGTATCTAGCAGTGGGCTACTAGCCATCCAGTCCCAGATCTTGGTTGCCCAGTCGGCATACTTCTGGTCCCCTGTGTACCGAGCCAAGCGGGCAGCGATCTGAAACAACCCGCCATTGGAAATCGTGTTCTTGAGGTCATACCCGGGCAGCCATGAGTGGATCTGCCATCGCAGACCACCATGGCAGGTTTCCATCTCCCAGCGCGGGATTTGGTTGTTGAAAACACCTTGCACGAGGGACAGCCACGATGGCCCATCAGAGACATCGGGATACTTCGTCTCTGCACAGGTCATGGCCGCGAGGCCCCAGAACATTTGGTCATCGTTACCCTGTCATATCGACATGAGGTCATTAGCATTCGGCCAGTATGTCCAGGGGGAAATGGAATGGAAGGGCCACGAACCAGGTAAGCAGTGCTATTGGCAGGTAGATAGTCGTGGTCATCTCCAGCCTGCCATTGAAGCCCTTGTGTTGTAATGGCATTGTGAGAGGAATCGCCGCTAACACGCCAGTATTGCACCAGTGTCATGAACATTGCGCCCGCTTCCCACCACGTGTTATCCAGTGTTCCCGGGGTCTGGCCGGGCTCGTTGCCATGATAATACTTCAGCATTCCGCGGGCTGCGGTACTCGCTGCATCTTTCAGGGATGCTATATCTTCTGCATGAGTGGGATAATAGTCCGGTAGGGATATACTAAATGCGAGGCCACTTACCGCTATCATGGATATCTAGTGAGAGAGCTGTCGTTGGTGTGCCAAATAGCACCAACCACAACGAAAAAAATCGCGCATAAAGCTGGAATAGTCTCATGATGTGAGTTGGTGAATAGACTTGAAAGGTAAAACCGCCAGAATTAACATTTATGGGATATAAAAGAGTAGACAGTACAAGAAATAGGGGAGTTCTGAAACGAAGAACAAGAAACAACTAACAAACGTATTCTCCCGTGCCCGAAAAACATTGCTCCTATTTGCGGATAGACGGGATGGGGGGCAGGAAAAGGTCTATTTGGTCAGTGGACTCTAGAAAAGTCCCCACCAGTCACGAAAGTTCCTACGGTGTGCTTTGCATGACACGCGAGAAAAGCCATGCTACATGCATACCGGATAATACTCCTGCTCGGAGTGTGTTTCTTGATTCCTAGGCAGGTAAGGTGCTGTTCCCATGTCCTATATATCCTATGTACTCGATATCTCTCTGCAGGATTGTTATGCTCGAGAGCATTATACTAAAACTAGGGGATAACGTGCTGCAAGATGGAATTCGAGGGTTCAAGTGGAACACGCTATCCGCCTGGCGGTCCATCCGGTCAAGGGTCTATAAAGGCTAGATCCCTTCCCTAGAGTAAAATGAAGAGGAATCATCATGTCCTGTTCTGGTAGTAGACATAGCCACAATAGGGGATGGCCCTTAAAAGTGGATATGGCGTAGTATAGGAGATAGCAACGTAGACACCCTAGATATCTATTCTACGCAGAGTACTTCTACGCAATTAGAGAAACCTTGGTCTTGGCCAGAGGCTGTGTATGTATCCTGCTATTCGTCCTTTGGTGACTGCTGATATGTTTGATAGGGAATATTACTGTATGCCAGTTACGACAGAGGTTCCATGTGGATATGTCTCAGTCATATGAAGTCCGGAGCCATAGATAATAAGAGTAACCCACAAACAAAACCCTGCGCGAATTAAATACGAGAAGGCGCATGCTGGTAGGTTACATTGAAGCATTAAAGGATTTGCCCGGCAGGTCAAGACGGACGCTTGGCGAAGGCCACTGAACGTATGTACCCTGACGCTTGGTGGACTTCTACCCCATCGCGGTTATAGCGATACCTAAGAATGTGTCTTTACATTCTACGTAACTAAGAGTTGAATAGTGGGAGTAAATACTAGACGTTATTCGTCAATCGTACTATGTCGGGTCCTAGCATCTGAAATGACAATTTTTGCTAAACATATCCGACTGCGTTAACACCACCTCTACGACTAGTGTGGGGATCCCAGTGAATAGTGATCAATCAGTACGGTTCTGGGGGCCGAGTAGCGAAGCATGATTGCACAAGGGCTTCCCACATAGCCCTATAGTACACCAGGTAGTCTACAATGAAGTTTCACCAGATATAGGGGCGATGCAGAAGTCAGGTTTCGCACGACTACTTCCTATCTAGTACCATTATGTTTGAAGTTACCATCTTCCATTATTTGAGTACTATTCGCGATGTATCTGGTAAACAGAAGAAGGAAGATCTGTCTAGTCCTTGCCGCCGCCTTTTTCGTTCTTCAAACTTTTTATTTACGCTCGCTCCTATCTACACGTTCTCCAAGCAAGGTTCACAACCTGAAGTACTTCACAGTATGTGAGCCATATATCCCTGAAAATTCCGCAAATTCTCTGATCTAACATGCCATTCCATTGAACTAGTGGGAAACACCAGACTTTGCGTACTTCAACAATCAGTTTATACTACACCTCGCCTCGGCCGTCCATAACCCCCTTCCCTCCCGCAAGCTTCTTTCCCCAGGCATCACCTGCCCAGCCATACGAGGAGTACAAGAGGCAAAGGTGATCCCCGCCACTGATGTTTTCAACGAACAAGGTCTCCAGTCATTGGGCTACGAGACAAATCTCCAACGGTGGCCAGATCCTGCCGCCAAAGCAGCATCCACTGAGCGTGTGGAATACTACACCGATATCGTGGAAGGGCCTAGCCAAATCATCGAAGCCAGAGCGCATACTGAATCCTACTGGCAGTGGAGCGCCATCCGGTTCGTTCTGGAAGGCTTTGTGCTTCCCTGGACACCGAATCGATGGCGTTCTACGGCCCGTCGCTTTCAGCTTACCCGCCCACTGCAACAGTGCGTGGACAGCATCCTCCCTTCCCTCGTTCCACACGCTATAGCAATGCATTTACGGATGTGGCCGTCCGACCTGTCTTTCGGTCAAAACGACGCCTGCTACCATGGCCAAGTCCCCGTCCTCAGGCATATCTTTTCCAAATGTGACTGGACGGGTTCATATTTGTACAATAACGTTCTGCGCGTCCAAAAAAGCGATACACAGCCCGTCATAATCGCGACCGACAACAGAGAGCATCCCGCCATAGTTGATCTTGTCCGCCGCCTTGGCCCCAGAGCACATTACATGGAGATGACAGAGACATGTACAACCGCCATCCGAGACGCTCATCCTTCTGACGAGACACAATGGCGTATAGCCACATATTGGCCTATCGTCGAGTCCGCTGTGATGGTCAGGACGGAGTCTTTCATCGGCTCGTTCTGGTCGACGTTTTCGCAGCTCATTGCTATTCGTCGCCATAGAATACATCGAACATTCTTCGTTCAGAATCGTCTGCAGGAGTTTGTTTGGGGGAATCGGTGGATAATAATATTGGCGTTTGTTGGGGCTCTGGGGTTGATTGTGGTCAGAACTTCGCGTCGGTTTAGATGAGTTTTATTTAGTGTGTATATATATTATCTGATGAGACAGTTTTTCAAGCCTAAATTATTCTTCAAGATTGATCCACGTTCCAGTTGGCATTACTGTTCTATCGCCCTGGCACATACTGGTTCTCGTGCCCGGTCACTGCCCTAATTAGCTGGCAGGCGTTGTTCCGCGAGAGCCACAAAAATTAGTACTGGGCGCCGCGAGAGGCCATGCAGAAACATACTCGGAGTATTATCTCGGAATGGTACTTGCCAGCGATGCATGCCCAGCTAGCTCACTTAGTAGATGACTTAGTTGCAGCTATGGTGAAGTTGGTTCCCTTTTCGTGCCATATCGTATTTTAAGTGCCCGTTATTACCACCAAGTACGTATCCTAGATTTAATACCACTAGATAAGATTGAGTTAGGTAGGGCTAACAGGCAGGGTGCCGGCTTTCCGTAACGCCAAGATGGCGCGAAACTATATTATAATCCATACATAAAATACCGTTATCGGCTGTACCCGATAATGTACTATTCACATACATCACGGGACACCGTAATTGTCGGCTATCCCGAACGGTGCTCAATCATCCTCTATGCCACCTCTGTTGTACACACGGGGAAAGGATTCCTGCTTATTATGGAGCTATGTCTGTCGATTAAGACACCGTGAATGATCTGTAGAGCTACCTGCGTCAAGATTCTAGTATATTCTAACCGGTTTGGGCGTATCATGTGTTGAGAGCAGAAAGAGAGGGTCAGAAATATATATCTACATAGAAGACATAATGAGTGATTATCACATATCAACAATTCGAATAGTAACGACGCAAATTACACTCTGACCGAGCTACCTTTACAGTTAATACTCCATTGTACATATGCTATGACCCGAAGATTCTTGTTCAGTTGATTTAAACGTCAAAGATGTGTTCCATAACTCATTCTTAAGAAGAGATAATAGTAAAGCAAGATCTAAAGCAAAATACATTCTTCAATTCAAAAAAGGACCGGCCGATCACCAATTCAAGGTGCTGTAGTGTAGTGGTGATCACGTTTCGTTGTGGTAGTTTCCGCAATTCCGAATCGACCTGGGTTCGATTCCCAGCAGCGCCAACATGGCGTCTGAACTTGATTGGTTTCTCTTTTTGTTTTCTTCTTTTTAAGATCAAAGAAATCCTTGTTTGGCTTTGTCACAGTCTGTGTTTCCTTTCCATCCTCTTTGCTGTTGAAACAAATACCATTGTCAATACCCCTTTCTCTGCACTCTGCCTATGCTATGACCCGTTCTGGATAGCATGCATGGGTGTATAGTTGAAACGAATGTTCCCGAATCAAACAAAACGGACAGTAGTTTATGAGTGCCCTTGTCGATCTTCCCCAGTTTCGCTCCTCGTTCTGGGCAGAAATATGACTCCAAGGAGAAGCCTCAATAAAACAGCAGACCTTTTTATTATCAGTAAGTTTTGAGACAGAGATCCGAACATTTCTTATTGCGAGACGGTACTCGAGGAGCCCGATATCCATATCTAACAGAAACTGCTGCGTAGGGTTAGTGGTCGAGCTCGCAGCAATGACCACGGAATCAAATAGTGCAGAGCAGCAGCGATAAAGGCTAGACGTGATGGGTACCGGTTGCAAAGGCGCTGGTTCAAAATTATGGGTGTCTCTTGCTTGGCAATATGAGAGCGAGACCGTCCCCGGGGTTGGCTTGCGGAAGACAGAGCAAAGCCACATCATCATGGAATGAAACCCGGGTATGATTTGTGAGAATCCCACCGTAATCGTGGCCGGTGTTTCCTGTGTGCCCAGTATTCCCGGTCTTCCTGGTGTTACGGCGAGACTCATGATGTCAGATGCTGTATAGGATTGTTATATTCTGCAAGTGTCACAGTATTCGTAGAATATCAGGGGATCCATACCGTATAGAACGCTGGGACGCCGTAGAGCTAAGATGATCATGTCCAAAAGGCTTCGCTCAAGCTCTCCATATTTCCGGGAAACATACTCTTCACAGCTGAGTACCTCCACAACACACCCATTTACAGTTATGGTGCGTTTATTGTCTATCGTGAAGAGAGGCCCCTCCCACAGGTAAGAATACCTCCAGGCGTGCAGAGTGATAGGTCTCGCGAGAGTCGGCTCTGCTCCGTAGTTAGTTCTTATCCCACTTTAAGGCAGTGCGTTGCTAAATATAGACTTGACGTAGTCGCACAGCCGGAGGAAGAGGGAAAAAAAAAGGGAAACATACCTCGTGGGAAGAACAAAGACGGTACTGCAAAGGCAAGACTGTTGTTATACTCCTCGTATGACGGGGGAGGCTCTGGTATTCCTGGCATAGTATCATCCACAGATGGCAGATATTGCCCTCCCAGCTGTAGAGAGCCGGGTGGGAGACTGAATGGAGCATCTTGTGATTGCCAAAGTTCGTCTACGCTCATCGGCGCTTCAGATTCCCGGTCATACTGTGGAGGGGTAGTATGTTCAGTGGTGGATAGAGAAGACCCTGATGTTGATGGAGACATGCTTCCGGTGTTTATTTCGAGAGCCGTTCAGATCACTCTTTGTCAGAGAAGGGGTGGGAAGGTGAGTAAAGAGAGGAACAATGACAATGATAACGATAATGACAAGGGAAACCGAGCGTATTATATGCGTAGCCTTCGGGGACAAAATTTAAGGTATTGAATGGGGAGCCTGCGGTTTGGATCTGGGGATGGGTGACGCGAAAAGGTTGGACACTTAACGTCCCATACTTATATCTTGTACTAGGAGAGACATGGCCTCTTCAAAGTGGCAAGTTGCCTGAAAGATCCTACTTGTAGGGGTCAGCGCACCCTACCATTTTATGTGTTCGGCAATTGCTCTTAGGTATGTACCCTCTTATTGCTATGAGCCGACATGAACCATTGTTGATTGCGGAACATACCTTTGGAAACTGCCCGACAAGGCTCTTTCCTTTGTTTTCTGCCGGTACATACATCTATTAGTTTCGAAAAACCGGGAATAGGCGCAGTAACATAGATAAGTGGCGATTCGTGGAACTTAGCTAGTGGTATGATCGGACATATCCCACGGTATATCGTGGACTACGCATTTGACAGGCGAAGGCCCTCTTCCCTGTATTTATCCCACCTCGAAGATACATAATGTCTCTACGGATGGAGGTAGCTGCAGCCACACGACGATTTGACGTAGCTACAGCATTGTCAGAATATGAACGGATTAATACGAACAGACTAATGTCGACATTGCTATCCCTTTGGTTACTGCTATCACTAGCGCTCGAACTCCTATTATTAACTGAGGATAAATGATTCGACAAGGCTTACAAGAAAGACGCTTGACCATTCAAACAAAAGTGATCTAAATGAAACGAACAAGCAATCGAAGTTAGAGAAGCCCCTATAACAGCGCCTATAGTGCAGATTGTGGAAGAGACATTGCCTGTAGATCCAATTCTAACAGTAGGAAAAAAGTCAAAGTAGCATTGGTGGCTGCATAAAATTCGTCCTCGGTGGAGATTATGGTGTGAGAGGGCGGGATCCATACACCAATACGCGTTTTTCGTCAACAAGTTGTGTGGCTTGCACTCTTGGATCCATGAGGCGTGGACCCAGCCAACTCCGTATATTCATGATATGTTCCAGAACTCGATCCTCGTGCTGCTCGCCTTGACCTCCCTCAAAGCACCAGATGATGCTTCTATAATCCGGTGTATATTGCGTCGGGATCAGCGTGCCATGGCGGCCCTCAAAAACAATGCCACCGTGGAATTCTTTTGGACGCTCGCATCCTGTGCGCGTTTTCAGCTCACCAAAGGGCATGTCCAAGAAAAAGAAGGAATTTTGCGGAGTGCCTCTGGATTGCCCACAAGCTATCACGGCATTATCAAAGAGCTTCTGGCAGAACTCACTACTATCCGGATTTGTTGCGGGCAACAAAGGCTTCAATCTGAAGAACTTCCCCCGTGATGTGCCATTTTCAAACGAGAAGCAAGGTTGCTCAGGCGGTGATCGGAACGTCAAGCAAATCCATTTCATTGTTTGATGCAACTCATCCATTGGACCTTTGTCGACCGTCAGGGTGATATTGTGTGATGAAGCGCGAATGTATATGTATGGAAGCACTGTTTAAGAGATGAGTGAGTGAATTGTTGGAGGTTCTACTAATCAGTTAAGCAACTCACCATATACATACTGGCCGTCGTGACCTGATGTCTTTATAATGTGATCAAGGAGTTTCATGAAATAAACTGTACTTTTTGATCCATCAAGTCTCGATTTGCAGTCTTCCACTCTCACCACATTAGCGGTCTTAGTCAGGGTTATTTTATCTAGTGCATTGGACCACTCAACCCCGGATCCTGAGATCTGCCAGTAATATGTGCACGTTGTATACCGATGGTCGGCCTCCGTGGCAGCCGTTCTCAGATTTTTCTGATCTGTGCGTTTGTTAGTCTCTGATACTACTGATCATCAATGGATTAGGGACGGAAACGGGACAGGAATTGATAGTAAGGACCCAAGAAATATAAATACCATCTGCATCGAGCTTAATCTCCTGGTAACCGCACACTTCATCCCCTGCACCACGCGAGACGACCCGGACAGTGACCACTGCTTGGTTCAGTGTATGGCTATTCATTAGAACTACTGATACCCCGCCTCTTAACTTACCATCAGCCGCTTTGACGTCCTCGATTGTATATATAGTTTCCGTTGGCATTGGTGCTTGATTTTGGATCACCTGCCTAACGAAGTCTGGATCCATGTCGGATGTGTGGTTTTGAAGGATAGCTATTACAGCGGAAAACTACCTGGGGGAAGGTCATGAGAGGAAGTTGTAAATCAAAGTACTGGAAATTTGTATAGGATGGCAGAGATGCACGGGATGTTATATAGTCAAGCGCTCACCCGTTTTCCTGCTCTTGTGACATTCCCACTGCGGCTCAGACATTGTTTGTTTCAGTAGTTGACCTCTATTAAAGTACGTCTTTTGCGAATAATGCTATACTTGGGAAATGACATCATCTGGGATTATGCCAATCTCTTTGTCTCCTTTATATCGTTGACTCTCCTTCGAATTCCAAATCTTAGTATGGGAGCCGTCCTGGCATTGCGCAGGAATGCCGAGAAAATGCCATACCCAAAGAGCCAGCCAGACAATACCCAGGCATTGCTTCTAGGACACAGTAGCTCAGCGGTACTATATGCTTAGGGCTGAGACCGGGGATTGCCGACTTTTGATAGGGAAATGCTCCCTGGACTTAGGGCGAGCGAGGTATATTCAAATAATTGGAGTCTTCGTTTGGAGAAAGATATGTACGTTGAAAGAAACAACATATTGTCTGCTTTACAACGCCTTATGCGTTTATTGTATGACTGCTGATCTGCATTGAACTTGAAACTAGCCCTTTGTCCTGTATCTCCTGGTCTGAAAGGTCAAATGTGGTTCATATCGTTTGTTAATTTATTGTGTTGCCAAGTTGACAGGAACAGTGGAATAAAATACCAAAATATACCCAAAGGAATGCCTGTGTGAAAATGATCAATGAACAGTACTCTGACTTCCATTATCCTGTGTTGCGGAATTCGATTCCTCTTTGTTTTATGTGGTACCTTGGGACGGAGAATATCCACACGGCAGAGAACAGAGATGACTTCACGCCTACATTCCATAGTGCGTGGTGGTGAGTTGGTAGTCAACCAGGGTACTTAGGACGATACCTCCACATTGTACAGATTACGAGTCAGAACCACCTTTTGGCCATGAAGGAATATGGACCAAAGTTCAGTGGTAGGAGAGTAGCACACATGCACGACCGTCAAGTCATAAAAGAATATTCGTCATCAGCAAACAACAGACACATAGTTCTGTACAGGTAGAGTGTCTCACGCCCAATGTGATACACGGGGAAGCAATGAACTGCCCGCCAACCAGAGACGATGTTGAGTAATATTGCTCAGTAACAAATTTCGACGTGCGACCAAAGGGACCAAAAGGTAGCGGAATCGTTGGAGGGTCAATTCGCAGTGACACGTCAAGCAGCCTGGACAAAATGCGGGGAGTCTCACGTGGTATGCAGTATATAAACCCAGTCAAAGCCATGAGAATCCAGAGACCTCCTCACCAACAGCACAAGAGTTTCTCATAGATTCCTGAAGGAGTTCGTAATGGAAAAATACATATTCCCCACAAAGCCTAAGGCTAACCTGAAAGCGATCATCTCTGGTCCCAAATATCGATTCACCGTTCTTACTGATCGTCTGCTGCGTTTTGAATGGGCCGAAGATGGCCGGTTTGAAGATCGAGCTTCTACTTTTGCCATCAACCGCGAACTTCCAGTCCCAGAGTTCAGGATAATTGACGACGACGGGTTAGAGATTATTACGGAGCACTTTCACTTGAGTTATGATAAGAAGAGATTCAGTCCCAGTGGGATGGTTGCTCATCTGAGCGCGAAAACGACCAAGTACGGAACTGAATGGCGATTTGGAACCCCGTCCACCCTCAACTTAGGAGGAACAGCAAGGACATTAGATCTATGTGATGGCCGATGTGACATGGGAGACGGAGTCCTGTCGAAAGCAGGCTTCGCAGTGATTGATGACTCTGAGTCTATGCTCTTTGATGGACAAGGCTTTGTCGCAAGCCGGCCCGCCGGAGACCGGGTGGATGGATACCTCTTCGCCTACGGTCGTGATTATAAGGCAGCGATAAAAGCATTTTATGCTGTATCTGGCAAACAGCCAGTCGTACCTCGATACGCCTTAGGCAACTGGTGGAGTCGGTACTATCCATATCGACAGGAGGAGTATCTCCAGCTCATGGATAGGTTCCACGAGCTGGAGATCCCGATGTCTGTAGCCGTTCTCGACATGGATTGGCATTTAGTGTCAGACGAACGAGTGCCACACGCTGGCTGGACGGGGTATACATGGAATAAAGAGCTGTTTCCCGACCCGGCATTGTTCGCCCGTGAACTCCACCAGCGCAACCTGAAGATAACATTGAATGACCATCCCCACGATGGGATTCACTCCCACGAGGATTCTTACCAAGAGATGGCAAAATTCCTGGGTCACGACACGAAACATAACACCCCGATACTGTTTGATTCGACCAACCCGAAGTTCATGGATGCTTACCTCAATATTCTTCACCGAAACCTGGAAGCTGTAGCATGCGACTTTTGGTGGATTGATTGGCAGCAGGGGCCGTACTCAAAAATCCCTGGGATTGACCCCTTGTGGATGCTGAATCATTTCCCTTATCTCGATCACGGACGGGATGGCAGGATCCCGCTCATCCTCTCCCGATATGCTGGCCCTGGAAGTCACCGATATCCCCTTGGCTTTTCTGGCGACACGGTGGTGACCTGGGCCTCACTAGAGTTCCAACCGGAGTTTACGGCGACTGCATCGAATATAGGGTACGGGTGGTGGAGTCACGATATTGGCGGCCACATTCATGGTGGCCGTGACGACGAGCTTGTCACTCGATGGGTGCAGCTGGGAGTCTTTTCACCTATTATGCGGCTACATTCAACATCGTCACGGTGGATGTCTAAGGAGCCCTGGCTCTATCGCACTGAGTGCGGGTCTGCTATGTCACGATTTTTGAACTTCCGGCACAGACTGGTGCCATTCCTCTATACACGGAACTTAATCTGCGCAACCGAGGACGAGCCACTTGTACAGCCCATGTACTGGGAATACCCAGGACGCGAAGAAGCCTACTCCGTTACAAACCAATTCTTCTTCGGGTCTGAGTTGGTGGTCGCTCCAATCGTGCAGCCACGGGATAAACGGACTAACCTGGCATCGGTGAAAGCCTGGCTGCCACCCTGTGGACTACACGTTGATATCTTCACTGGTACAGTTTATGATGGGGATCGTGCATTAACCTTATATCGTAAATTGGAGGACTACCCCGTTTTGGCCCATGAGGGATCAATTATCCCTCTGGACGCTTCTCCACAGAACGGCTGCCTCAACCCAGATGCCTTCGAAGTTCTTATTGTGATTGGCAAAGATGGGTATACGGAGGTGCTCGAAGATAGCCGTGATGACAGACAGCAAGACAATGCTGGTGCGGTCGAAAGGCAACGGGTATCTACCGTCCGGTATATACAGACAGATGGTAGACTTACTGCCGAGGTCACCGGAAGACTGTGGACGTTCAACTTCCTTGCCTTTACCTCTATACCAAAAAGCCTCAAGGTATTGATTGATGGATTTGATCGAACCGATGATGCCACTGTATGGGTCGAATGCTATCCGCAAAGACCCGGTTTACATGTCAAGTGTCCGTTCGTGCCCAATGAAACTTACTATATCGCCATCGAACTGGGGTCCAACCCCCAAGTCGGCGTGATAGACCACATTCCATGTCTTGAGGGATTGATTAGGGACTATCAGATCGAGTTCCGCATGAAGAACATGTTGTGGGATGTCGTGGAGGGGTTTCAGGACCGGCCTCTCAATGTGACGATTGGACGCTTGACTGCGTTGGGGTGTGACGAGGCGATTGTGGGACCCATTATTGAGCTACTCTTGGCAGATCGTCGATCCGTGAAAGTGTAGAGGGTGTTGTCAAGTTGACAGATTCCGGTACTACTAAGTACTAGTAGTAGTACCATGATGGAAGTAAGGGTGGACAGCTCCCATTGGCCCGGGAGTGATGAGGGCACCAAGCTGAACTAGGCTAGTCTATTTCCCCGTTTCGAGAGGACGGTGACGTCACTGATATGTCGACTGGAAGCCTGAGGCTACCTCTGGCAATGATAGACTGAATACACGGAGAAATACATTTACATTGCATCTTGAGACCAGAAGTATGAACAGACAAACACAAGGAAGTAAGAGTACAGGAAGAATCATCGCTTCCCACCCATGATCCCATATCTCCAGCCCAAATACCCCAAGACCCCCGTTAAGCTCCCCATGCCAGCACTAGCGAACGCATTCCTCCACCCCAGAGCCCGAAGCAAAACCAGGGAAGAAACCTCTTCATGGCCCGTCAATTGAAACATCCGCCCATTGCGCCGCGCCATAGCCACTAACCCCGTCAATCCCAGCACCGCGCCCGCAAACCCCCAACTATCCACTTCCACCTGCCCCGGGTTCTCCAGCAGCCTCCAACTACGATCTTGCCATTCGATCGGCTCCCATCTAGCTAGGTAATACGGTAACATAGCAGCCATGGCCCCGAGACCGATGACGGCGCCAGTGCCGGTCGACCGCATAAGCAGAGTAGCCGGGGTGGATCCTGGAGGGATAATGAATCTGGTGTAGAACTTATTGTTTAAGGTTGGTTGGTAGGCCAACAGCCATACTCGGGCGAGCCCGGTAGTGCTTCCTAGCAATGCGCCGGCTTGAAAGCTGCGGTCGAGGACATGGCCGGTGAGGATGAGTTTGGGGAAGGGTTGGTCTTCGGCGTATTCTGTGTGCGGCCAGAATGTGGATAGCATGGTGAATGTTTGTCGGGGAGATTGAACGGAGGAAGAAAGGAAATATTGTACAATATATTAGAGCTGATGGGTGGATTGTGGTTATTGATTGTCGGTGGCCTGAGATAGAGTACTCTTAGTGCGGGGCATGGTATGGGTAGCTCGGCCAAACATGCACTGTTATGATCTAAAGCATAGTTGAGATGAAGTCAGGTAATGTCCATGGTAGCACGTTGGGTTATTATATTGCTGGCTCGTATGGCAGGAGTGGAACCCTCCTTTAGCTCTGACAGGAGGTTGTAGTCAGAAAGGTCATCTGACAGCCGTGGCTTTCTAATCGGCCCGTCGGAATCGGCCCTCATACAACCTAAACAATGTTCCATTCTTGATGCTTACATGAAAACTACCTGCATCATGGAATATACAAAGGAAAAGACAGGGATGACAGACAGAAAAAACCACACCTGAGACTATTGGTACGCCGAGGATATTAATAATATTGCGATATGACGGAAGACACAGGAAGCCATGGACAGGAAATGCCCTAGAAAGACTAGACAGACTAGACAGGCTGATCATTAAGCTAGCAATCCAAACACCTCCAACAGCACGTTAGTCTTCACCGGCGGGGTACGCTTTGAAAGCCCCATCAGATGATAAACCGCCATCTGAGCGCCACGCACACTATATTCCATGCTGAAAGTCGTATCGTGCGGGATCTCCACAAACTGACCCACGAAGGCCATGTTCGTCGTATTATGGGGAATTACCTCGGGACGGTCAAAGTGAGATCGTTTCAGCAATGAGGCCGTGGCCATTGGGAAGATGCAGGGGATAGTAGTGGCGGTAGGGCGAATGTTTTCCGGAGGGTTGCCCAAGTGGCAAAGCAGCTCTGTCAGGATCTCCGCCCCGCTGCAGTCCTGCATCGGCTTCTGCACGAAATTGCCCGGCTTCTCAGGCTCCGTGCCGTATCCCCAAACAACGTGAACGTTTTCCGGCTGGTTAGCGAAGACGGGCTGACTAGGCACGCTGAGACTCAGGTTCCAGTTGCTGCCGACGAATGATACCAAGGCAGCTGAGCCGGGTCGGTTATGCGTTATGTCTTGGTAGACATCGAGGAATGGGGAATCTTTCAAGGTGATCGTGAATGTTTCGACCTTGGAATCTTTAATATCAGACCGGAAGGGCTCGGGATCACCGAATTTTCTGGTGGACATTGCAGAAACCTTGTTCCACAAGGACCAGTCCTCCATGACTGTAAGCTCTGGAGATGTCTCCCATGTGGGTGGTGCATTATTGGATCCGACCACTGATCCCGAACTGATGGAGCCGAGCGTAACGATGACAATGTCCATGGGATCAATAGTCACAAGCGACGGGCTGTTGTCATCGTGTACGAGTTTGATTTCGGAAATAGTCGTGGGGTCGCCCTCCGGGTACATGACCAGATCAGTCACTTTAGCGTTGAAGCGGAGGTCAACGCCCTCCTTCTCGAGATATGCAACTAGAGGCAGAATGACGGATTCATGGAGAGTGTACTGGGAGCGGTCCAAAGCGCTGACATTATTGAAGTCTTTGATCTTTTCAAGGTATTTGCGTATGTGCCTCTGGAACTCAACGGCTCCATGTTCGGGTTTCAGTGCGAAGCTATATGGAGTTAATCTAAACCCAGCCAGTAAAACGAGGCAAGTAGGGCTGGCTTACGTCGTAGACCACAGCGTCCAGAACTTTGAGTTAAAGAAGGACTCATCGAAAACGTCTTTGATAGTCTTGTCGGCGACCGCTTTCTCACCTTCAACCATAAGCTTTATGAGATCCCATCGGTGTTTCATACCCAAATGGAACTGTCGTTCATCGACCTTGTCGGGGCCCTTCCCAGGATGTTCTAGGAGCCGAGTTGAGGGGGCGGGCTTAGATTGCTCCGCCTTCTCAGAGGCTCGCACTGTATCCATGATGGATTGATCAGGGTTTCCGGGATCAGGCACGTAGGATAGAAGGTCCTGGACACAGGTATCATGGAAATATGGAAGACAGGCAGTACGTAGCACATAGCCATTTTCTGCATCCCCGGAGCTCTGCATCGCCCCGCCAGCGTGTTTATGCTCGTCAAGTAGATGGATATTTTTCCCTGGAACCTTGGCATCTTTGATCAAGTGAACAGCGGCTGCGAGCGACGCGATGCCGCCGCCAATCAGCCAGGCCTGTACATTGCCAGGGTCTCGCCGAATGGAACTCTCCTTGTGGGGCATTTTGAGTGGATTTCTTCCCTGAACGACCGATTTCATAGTATCGCTAAGCGCTGAGTAGATGCAGTTATTGTATGAACCTTACGCGGCACGGACACTATATACCACTGGGGAGCTGTCATATGACAGCCGGACCTGAGCAGTAATACATCAAGTGTGGCATATGTGACATAGTAGGCTAGAGCATATTCGAATGAATAGCCTCTGGTGGGTGCCAGCGTATACCATGTAGTAGTAGGCTACGCATTCTTAAACCATATCTGGTTGAAGGTCAGGAGACTTCAGACCAGAGTTTCTATGGTTACGCACAATGTGACCCTTGGTACTATGGCCGATTCTCTCGATATAGGCTTAAACCAAAAATAGTTCAATAATAGGATCTTTACATTTGCTTTGTAGCGTATGCTGTCGGCGGTCAACCTTCTAAGGCTGTGATTTATCAGTATTTCACGGAGCGATATCTCATGCATAGTCCTGTCAGTGATCCCCCTCTTGGTTCCAACTTCGCATCCACCGGCTCAAGTGGTGTGACAGACTTCTGAGCCATCCGAGGTTAAATTTACCGATAATATCATCATGATGCTATCATAAAGATATTTGGTGGCTTTCACGATATTGTGCGCCAACGATCACCTTCCATCACACACCTGAACCATGCTTGATCCTCGGGTCTAAATCCCGTTATGGCTGAACCACCTGATGAATTTAAGTGAGTTACCTACCTGAATTAATGGATAACAACTGGATTCAAGTGCATAATCCTTGTTCAACTTCCTAGCGAGGTCAGCTAGGGTGGAATATTCCACATTGAAAACAATCATGTGAACGGAAGCGTTCACTTGGGATACGTGGTGGACATGTTCCATAATGGAATCCCAAATTTGTTAAATTCATATATTTATTTACTTCCCCAAAGATTTTGCTATTTGGTATATTTTGTAAAGGTGTGGGATGATGTCGGCAGTGTATTGATCGGAGTTGAAGGTAGCCTCTCCTGTGTAGCGGAGGTTCTGTATCATCCCCACGAAGCTTAAGAAGCTGTTTAGATTCCACCACCGACAAGGTCCGAAGGTTTAGGAGCCAAGAACTACACAAATCAAAGAGTCTACTACTGAAGCTGTGTATGTGGACTTTGTCTTCACTTACGGAGTTGGGAAGGCTAAGTATCGTAGGTAGGTTTTATCTGCGATTAATCCATTTTTAATCCCCTCCCCGCTCATAATCACAGTAGTAGGCGTATAATCTATGTACAATAGTATGAAATTCAAGGAAGGTGCTCATTACCTCGTAAAGGTGTACGACGCTCACTGGATACCCACGACTTCGTCCGGTTGAAGTTGAAACGTAGGTTCACTCTGCACACAAGTCGAGTTCCGAAACTTATCGTATACGCAGTCCATCTCGAATGATCCAACGTAAGTAACCTGTATCCTGCCTTTCGGGCTGATGATATATAGACTGTTAGCTATTGTGGTAAGGATGTAGCAACGGTACAGTATAAGGTGAACACAGCGTGCTTTCTGCCCTGACTTACCAAATAAAATTAGGCTCCACATAAGTCAGTCTGCCTTCAGTGCCATCCACTGCTAAGAAAAAGCGTCGTCCAAGTGATCGGCAGTTGAAGGGCCCACCGGGAATCGGTCGAGCAGGAACACTACCAGGGTCGGATGCGCCGCAGGTCAACGTGTCATTGTATGTTGGAGATTGCTGAGAGAATGTTGCTTCCACCATATCTGGTGGGCCACAGCCGGGACCGCCATGAACACCCGTTGGAAGGCAACCACCATCATCACACCCGCAATTGTGAGTGCTATTGTGCCAGGTAAAGTTGGTGATAATAGCGGGAGGGACTTCGCAGCCATCAGTACTTTGGCCAGAAGCCAGCTGCGCAAGGGAGAGCAGAAACGCCATGATATGGATATGGATGAAGAAATGCATCTTGAATTATGTTTAGCAGATATAGAAGACGGTAAGAGTTGAGGGTTCTGGTATTTGATCAACAACATCCTCAGTAGGGAGAAGGGCAGTATTTATATCTCATGGTTGCGCTACACTCCTCTTCCTTATCCCCTAACCGACGAACGCTTTTGTTATTAGTTTCGTTCATGTTATAAATCCCGCACTGCTGCCTTTCATGCTTAGTGTCTTTTTTTTGTCTTGCTTCGTGCGCCGGGATACCCGTTCTGTTAGTGAGCCCTGGATTGTCGCCGGCGTAACCTGCCATGGTGTCACACATTTATTGTTCTAGATGGACCTGTTCGCCATTGCAATTGGTAATGTCTTGATGATGTCTTGTAGATGTTTCAAAGCAAGCGACGATCACATTGTCTTTCAGCCCGGCCATACTTGACGGGCAAATAGAGAGCAGCAGATCTAGGTACTCAACTGCGCTGGTCCAAGCTCCAGTTATCACACTGCAGCTGGAATCTGGTACTAAGAGTATAGTATAGAGCTAAGGAACTCGGTATTAGCTCCTAATTGGATTACACAGTGCCATAAACATGTAAATAAACCAAGACAGGGACTCTATGTTCCGGTTGTATGCAATGCGACATTGACGTAGCATAGATTACATATTCGCATTGACAGGTTATGTCGGAGGCTGGGTGCCCTAGCTCAAAGGGTCTCAAATGTACAAATAAAGTCCTGCAAGATCTCCACACTTTCCGCCACTTTGGTGATGAACGGCGCGCAATGGCTGCTCTCGATTTCCCGCACATGCCATTGCTGACCTGTGCCCCATATCATGCCGTACTGGGCGACCTTGGGAACTGCCAAATCGTCGGTGGTCACAACATATGCCAGCCTCCCGGTAAATGCGGGGTCCACCCAGGCAGGGGAGGGCTGGGCTGAGAAAAAGGCGAGGCTGGCATGCGGCTTGATCACACTGCCTATCGCTAGCGCCTGCTGCTCACTGACATCTGCAGCGAAGGTCTCCTCTGGCTGATCAGGTACATTGAGGCCAACAGAAGGCTACATCGCTCAGATTAGCTGCCTTGTAATCACTATTGTCGAACTGCGAACAAACCTGATCCAATAGAATCCACGATGGTAGATTCCCACCTTGCGTGTCAGCACAGCTGACGCCTTCGGGAACCAAAAATGCACCCATACACACCAACCCCAACACCCCTCCTCTATTCCCCTGTTTGGCTCTTTCGGACTTTGAGAGCCCTGTGGCAGCGGCACCTCCCGGCATACTTGCGTAGGAATGCATCACTAGCACCACATCGCGACCCTCTCTTCGACAACAGTGCACAGGAGACGCCGGATGCTCGCGGCGTCCGTCGCACAATCCGCCGCGGTCGGATCAATTGGATTCAGAGATGGCAGCTCGGCTATACGTGTTGGGAACCCCGCTGTCTGAACCGCTTCCAAGAAGGGTCTGTAGAACTCGGGAACAAGCCAGGCACCGGGCACAAGCACAATAGTTGGCTTCATGGCTAAAGTGACACAGCGGCTGAGTGTGAACAAGCTTTTGATAGAGATCCTCGCGTCACAGGCAGATTTATGAGAAAGCTTCGTATTTGTTGGAAGGAGCGTGGTAGCATCATCAGAACTTGGGGGCGAAAGTAGAGGTGCAATCATATGCTACATGTCACTGTGGGGCAAGTCGTAACGTCTAAGCCACACAATAATGCTGGCCTGCTATATACTGACCAGATCCTTTTATCACCACGCTGAGTCGTTGCAGACAGTACTGAATTCAGCTTGCGCTGGGCGTTTTGCTCAGTTTCGAGCCGTCTACCTTGTTGACTAGCGAGACTGGCAGTTCTTCGGGATTACATTCAATTCATAATGAAATCATCTTAACTGATAAAGGGCTAGGGGAGACCGGAAAAAAATAAATAGGCTAGTCCGTAAAGCACAGTCTATCTAAGTAAATCCTTGAGAATACCACCACATATCGATCACAAGTGCGTAGCATGACAATGCTTGTACAATTATCCAACTTGTCTGTCGCTCTCATAGATTAAAGTGTGCGACACCCCATGATTGGTCTCGCACTCATAGCACTTTAGTCACATTCCTTACTCTGAAGATCTCTTGTTCTAGGCCAACGGACTCAGCTCACAGCCCAAGACCTAGAGCACAACCTGTAGCATTGTTCACCAGCTGTAGAAGCTCATCGGCGCACCTCGATATACAAACATGTCGAATCGAGCTCCTGCTGTGTTCCCACCACTTCCAGCTACAACCATGAACGGCATCAAATGCTCTGCCTCGCCTACTGGATGAGCAATGGCACTGGAAGCGTGCTTCCTCCATCCAAGCAGTGCCCTCTCTCTCTGCACTGGATCGGTGATAGTTGCTGCCGAGAGCAAGAAGTCCTCGAATTTCTCAGGCCCTGCGGGAATGGGCGCATTGGAGAAAAATGCGTTAGCTATTGCACGGAAATCATGATAGGACCCTCCGCTCCCGATCACGGCATATCCGGCATCCCGGAAGCATTCGACCGCCTGTCCCAGCTTGATGTTCTTCTGAGTCGACTCTTCCTCATCTTGCCCTTTGAGGATCGACATCTGGACGATGGGAATGTCACCCTGGGGCCGTAGCAAAGTCATCGGCACGTAAACAGAATGATCAAACCCGCGTTGGTAATTCAGGATAGGGTTGAACCCGTAATCCCGGAGACGGTTCGCAACCTCGGCGGCCAACTTTGCGTTGCCAGATGCCGCATATTGGAACTCAAATGCAGCCGGCGGGAGCATGTCACGCATATCCTCGTAGTCGTAGTAGATCCCGGGATTGTCAGAGGCGGTGATTTGAGGCTCCTCTGCTTCCCAGTGAGCGGAAAAAAGCAGGATGCCTTTGACGCCGTCGAGCTTGCTCGCATGTTTTCGAACGAGTTGTCGATAGGACTCTTGTTCCGGGTCTAGGAGAGGGAAGGGACCAGTCCCGTGGGACAGGAAGAGTGATGGAGCGCGAAGAATGGTTGGTGAACTCATATCAGTAGGCAAGAGAGTGGACCTAAGGGGTGGGAATAGAAAGCACGTTTCCCTGTTGTATCTGTCCACCGTGGGTGTTTATATATCTTCGCCAAGGACGGCGGTCGCGCTTTAGAGTTCCGAGACTGCCCTCACTAGAGAAGTCGCTGTGAATCAGTACTATGAAGCAACAGATCATTCTCGGGCAGGTTTCGTGTAAATGCCGACAAATTGTCTGGGCAGTGTGGATTGCTACAATGCTCTAGTTCAATTATTTCTTCGATTTCCCGATCGGGACAGAAACGCCAAGGCGCTACTCCGACGCTAGCGGACTAGCGCCAGAATGTTAATTCTGCCAGGCGGTCAAGCTCCCTGACCTCAGTGATTGGGTTTGGGCTGGGCCTGCATCGTTGACTCTTAGGCTCTTCAGTACGTTACGATCAATAGTTATTCTCTGGGGATGCAGACGGCGAGCCTGGCTTCGAATGCCTGTATTTCATGTGCCTCCCAAAAGCGCAAATGCGACAGGTTGACTCCAGCGTGTGGGCGCTGTGCTAAGTACTGTTCCACCCGCATGCCAGCAGAGAGTGACACTGATGCAAACCAAGAAACAACATTCTATGCCAGTATAGCTACCGTGATGGTGGAATGCATCTAGGACATGACCGGAGTCGGCCTAGGCTTGACGGTGGAGAATCAAGTCGACTGTCTTTGGAACCACTTTGCTGGTCTCATCTGCCTGGGACCGATCCACACGCCATTGATAGGTATTGCACCTCGCATCTGTTCCACATCCTTGATAGGTTCCGGTGTGAACTGGAGGACGTTGTGAGGTGCCATGTCGCGTGTATCCATCCGTGGTTACCTATTATTCATCCCAGATCTTTGACACAACGGGTTTCATCGCTACGCCAGAGTCCGTCTGCCGAACTGGCATCTCTTTTGCTGAACATCTTGCTTTCCAACCCGCCGATTACTGCTTTCATGCTTGATTATACAGTAGTGCAAGACGTATATGAAATTTGTAGATTTATATTCTCGCTTATCCAAACGTCTCGTCGCGACTCACTTTGCATCTTGCAGTCGGGCCTGCTGTTGGCGGTATACGAACAGGGTAGTGGCCATCTTGCCAACGCGTACTTAACGCTTGCGACTTGCGCTAGCTTAGGCTATGCTATTGGCCTGAATAAATTGCCGGATACCAATACAGGGCACGGGGAAGAGAGCAAGCGTGTGTGGTGGGCGACCTATCTACTTGATCGGCTTGTGTATTACTCAGACAAGACGGCAGGCCGCATACCGCTCACCCAGTCCGCCCGTGCTGGTGATGCACTCCCTATCGACGATGATATGTGGGGCGACCATACAGATACTGCGAGCTGGCTATCAAGTGTTCCTAGACTTTCCGTTACAAAAACTGAGATACTCGGATGTTTTGCACAGCAAATTCAGGCTATCGCTCTTTTAGACAGAGTCGTGACCCTGACACGAGATTGGCCCTACAGGACTGGGAGATCGTTAAGCGAAGATGTCTCGCAGCTTGATACAGCGGTCCAGAGGACATTACAGGACACCCTGAGCTTTTCAGGGACCGACTGGGAACCTCGTTACAGAGCTATTGTTATTCTTTTGCTGTGCGTTTCTTACTAGATATTGATGACTATTTACTGAATGCTACAGGGCTCTGCTTGAACTACACGAAACCGCGTCTACATCCGTCCGCCATGAGAATATCCCTCCAATGTTCTCCCAGTCATCGATCGCTGCTATGGAAACGGCTCTTAATTTTACGCGTGACATTGTTTGCATGGACGACATCCTCAATGTCGAAAGGATGCCTTTGGCAGCCGTGCTGTTGCTCGCGAAAGCGGGTGCAGTGGCAATAGCCCTTAATGTTCAATATAAACGTGATACGGACGTTCTAGAACAGGTCATAGGGTCTTTAGAACGCGCTACCAAGCGTTGGGCAATTGCAGGTCAGTGAGCCCCGTGGGATGGATGCTTTCAAACTAACTCTGTAGGCCGAATTGTGGGAGAGCTCAACAGGATGAAAAGTCGAGCACCTTACTCAACTTTCGAACAATCATGAAATGCGTAAATCTCGATTACAAGATTTGCCAGCAGAGATTCGAAGGCTGTCCCCGAACGTGACGAAAAACAAAGAGAACCAGTCACGTTGATATTGTATGCAAAACCTACAATTTCGTCTTCACATAAGTCCCAGGAATACAATAAGTTATTCAGAGCCAATAACAGATCATCACGCCTTCATGCGACGTCTGAATACCCAAACCAAACGAATTCTCCGATTGCCAACAAAAGAAAGCCAGACAAGAAAGGTTCCGCCGTCACGTCCATACATGGCAGCTCATCTTTTATCCTGCGAGGACTTAGATGCACCATACTGCGAAGGCTGTGTGTAACCCTCGCTCGATGGCTTAGACTGTGCCTGGCCTGCGACATTCGCATTGCGATCTCCCGCAGCTTGGGCCCTCGCGGCAAACCCCTCGGACGACATATCCTTTCCCCCGCGCGCCTGATCTGTGAGATATTTTCTAAACCACCCCGTGCGGATGCACGTACCTGTGTGGCCTGGATGCGCGACGCATCGCCTTTACTCATTCGATGAGCCATTGTGACTATTGATAATTCTGTTGATTCAAGATGATAATGGAAGTGTTGATGAGATTCCTGGACTGTTCAAGACTGGCCGAGCTGTTTGTAATAAATCGGCATTAGCTGCATATCTGCACCTTTCCACCTTTTATAAACGCGGATGTCTGGACTGACATGTTTCCTGTAGTTTGTTCACATGAAAACATTGCACATAAGACCCATTTGATTAAGCTTCGTTGCTCCCCTGGACTATATCTCGGCAAGCCGCCCACAAAGGCATCAGATGGTGTCCCACGCACTTTCAATCCTCGGCCCTTTCAGCTGCTCTCTTCTTTTGGAAAATTCCTGCGAGAAGGCTCGGCTCTGGCCCTTTCTTACTCAATATCTCTGGCTCGGCCTCCTGATACAATCGGAAACGAGTCGTATGCTATGCAATGATGATCGATGAATGTGTCATGATATGCCAACTACGCATTTATTCATTATGATTGGCAGTTGGTCTGGACCGTGAACATCCCTTCCACATAACGTTGGGACGCCATATCATAATGATGCTACTCCTAACTACTAAGGTGTGTCCGGCCTTCATCTCCGATTCGCGAGTGCCCATATCTCGGAATATAACACCTTCTATAGAACACCAACTAGGGATAATCTCTTTCCAGCCAATGGGCTTTAGCAGACACGCCCCTGACCTTTCGTAGAGGGCGCTAAGGCGACACATTGAATAGTACAAGGCCAACCTTTCAAGCAACCATGGAGTCTCCAGTAATTGTCCGGAGAATAGGGGTTGCGTAGGGTGGTAGATCACCTAGCGATCCGTGGCTAGATATGATGCCGCGTAAGCAGAAATTAGCCGCTATCACTGTCTTCCATCTGGGCGTGTGTGTGTGTGTGTGTGTGTGTGTGTGGCTGTCTCCAGCAGTATGTCCCACACTACTACCCACAACCCCACCCCAGTCCAGGCATTTGCACAGTCTACTCTTACCGTAGCCAATATGTGATTACAGTTCCTGTATCCCCACTCTCTGTACCTCGTCTTCGGCTCCCACCCCTGTACTGGTATCCTCAGTGGACGCCGCGGCTACAAGCTCTCAGGCTCCAAATGAACAGGCGCGGCGGCCAGCATACAGTCAGGGTATCTGGCTCGTTAGACTTCTTTTCGAAGGGTTTCTACGTAGTATGCAAAGCTTCTCCGATAGGTTTGAGTTCGGCGACCTACCTTCATTTCATATCACGGCAGTGACCTCCAAATGCGCAAGATTTGATAGGAACAAAACAAGGTGGGAGAAGGTGGGGAGGAAAGGTAATCAACTTAGTGCAAATCATTTCGGGGTGGGGAAGTCGCGAATACCGATATCTTCCCCAGAATCCCCACCTTGCATTATGAACCGGGGGGGGGGGACGCGCAAACTGCAGTCCCATTCGATCGCCCCGCCATTCGTTTTCATTGACTGGTGGATACTGGGTCTCGGGCTGGCTAGAGCAGAATAGAAACCCACGGTATCGAACGCCCTGGCTCTGGGCAAGTCTTTGACTAGTAGTCGTCAAGCAATCTGGGGAAGAATAGCCAGAATGGATCTGTGGGCCCATTCCAAACAATTGTGAAATCACGATTGCAAACCAGTAATTGCGAGCCACTGATAACCAAAATCTTTCTTATTGTCTTAAGCTGAGCCCCTCTCGATAAATATATGGACTACATGAGAAGCCAGTCCTCTACGGCTACTACTCGCCTTGATTCTCAATGTCCCGCTGACTATTCGTCCACAGAAAATGACCGTGGCTATGGTCAAGTAGTGCAGGAAGTTCTGGGTCTACCTGATCAATCTGACTATAAGTTTTTCCCAACGCAAACTCTCAGTCTGAAGGACCCAGTCCTGGTGAGTTTTTCATCACGAACGGTTGGTGGGATTCTGCCTCCAGTCCCCCAAAGGAAGAAAATGATATCGAAACAAAGGAGGGCCAATGTGAGCTCCCAGAAAGGGACAACTATATTAAGGTATCCGGTTTAGACTTTTCAAGTAGAAGCATATTTAGTATACATGTCCGGCAGGATAGTTGCTAAGATTGCCATCTCCTCGGTAGCATGCCTCAGTAAGCCCAGTGCAAACCCGCCCGACACGGCGGCACCGTCGGCGGCGCCCTCGGCGACGCCTTCTTCCACGTCGCCAAGCCAGAAGCGCGAGCGCATGCGCACTCCATCCGGCTCCTCCTTGACCAGATGAATTAGATGCCCTACATAAACGACCTGTCCGGAGGTGCGATTCCACTGCCCTACGCGGGCGCACACCGCGGTGGCATAGCCGGCGGCGTTGAACGCCGCCTGCCACCCGGGGCCGAAGTAGACCTCCGGGTCGCGGAAGGAGATCTTCAAGCTGGCCAGCTCCCCCCCAATGTACTCCTCGACCAGGTGGTGCCCGCCAATGTACTCGCTGCCGTTGCCCCGCGGACCTTCCCAGTCGGAAAAGACATGATCGCGTGGGTGCCAGAGCTGGTATTGCTGTGTCGTGTGCACCCACCCGAACCACCAGTCGAGCATCGCGCCGGTGCAGCCCTTCATGTACGTCGAGGCGGCAATGTGGATCATTCCGTCGGCTGTATGGGCCACTCCGGCCTCCAGGGGAAGGTATTCGTGGGTGAGAAGGAGGGAGGCATCCTTGAGCGACAGCCCGTATGGGGCGGGTAAGATGGTGACCATTTTTGAGTTGTGGTTGGGACGGAAAATGTGAGAGTTAATGACTTGTTCCGCAAATAGAGCACTAGACCAAGGGATTATATGTTGAGGACAGGTATGTACAAAAAGGCTGTCGCAAGAAGAGGAGAACTGCATCAGTATAAGAAAGAGGTATGGGACGTGGGGATGTGGGGGATTGTCATTGCCCCGGGGCCCCTTTCCCCATATCCTACTTGGACATAGCGTACGTTGTGTCCCCTCTATGGGGTCAAGGATGGTACAATTTTGAGTTTGCGTGTATTTTGCTGGATATGTTAGGCGATTCGTCCTGCGTGTCTATCTCTAACCAATTCTAGAAAAGCGAGCTGGCCATCTTTGTATCATATAGAACATAGCCGATTGTCAAACATCGATATCTTGGCTAGTATTAGTTGCGTCACTCTACGCTCTTGATATGCTATTGATTTGAAGGTACAATCGAGACTGGTATTAGATATCGATACAGGCACAAGGCCTATAATATGTTTATAAGTACTTACTGCAGTGGTCTACGTGTCAGGTTTGGGTTGAAAATCTGGCACCCATCTTCCCGCTGCGGTGATGATGAGGGATCACTCGGCTTAATAAAAAGCATATGATCTCTGGTACTTGCTCCACCTAGAGGTAACCGGGCGGGCTTCGGAATCGGGTTTGAGATGATTTAATCTCTTCCGGCTTCCACTGACACCGAACTTGAATTTCATTTCCCACGAATGGTTCATGGGAGATTCTTGTTCTCGGCAGGCCGCGTTGAATGGTTGGCAGGACAGCGAAGAATGAGGTACATTATGTCAATCGCTACACTCTACTATTCATATAACAGAGCTGGCTATATCGAGGCATTGAATGAGAATTATGGCCGTCAAGAATAAGACCATGATACACGCCTCTCAAGTCGACTACGGGCTTTTGGGATAAACGTTCTTTGGAAGTTAAATTTGCCCCAAGGTCTTGAAAGTAGTTTCTCCGTATATCAAATCCTCCTGGTTTACTTGCAACCGAGTGAGTAGCTAATTGGCTTATGGAGGCCTATCTGCAGAGTGACGATAGCCATCATTTTCGGAATGACCGGAGGTGGAACTACGGACATACAGGACTTTTTGACAAGTTCTCCAATGCGCTAATATAGCTCGGGGCTCTCATCCCCACCTCGTCCCCACGTCGGCTTCCTTCTTGGTAAGTAAGCAGCAGTCTGGAATCAGGGAGTCACCTCGAGGACGGACTGCCGCCCTTCCTCTTCAGGCTCTTTTCACATTCTTCTCGTAGGAAGAATGCGGAAGTCTGAGTGTGCAAAGCTTTGCTAGGGTATTTCATGAAAGCTGTCTTTGTTTGTACTATACACCTCTCAGCGCCATTTTTATCATAGCTTTCCCATCATCAGATCAAATCCAAAAAAAAAACACATGCTTAGAACCGTAAGAGAAAAAGAGAAGAAGAGAAAAAGAAAGAAAGAGAAGAACGTTACCATTAAATCTAAGTGATGAAATCTACCGGTATGTCCCCTAACTAATGTCATATACTCTCCAGGTCCTGTGTCAAGCCCTCTATAGGCATAGAGACTGCATGGGGCTGTCGCAGAATGGCACCACCACTGCAAGAAAGAGATCGTCAAGACACGGAAGCTCAACCGGTCATACTATTTGACGATTGGGCCAGAGGATACCAGCAAGGAGTCGGCATCGGCTCGTACCATGACGGCATCTCGTGGTTTACAATCATCGTTCCTGGTGGGTCTACTTCGGGGAAGCCAAGTTTCAGCAAAGGACCCTGAATTAGGCTATTTCCCTTGCACTAGTTCTTATACACTGCAACTATTTCCGTCACAGGCTATGATGGGATTTAGCCGGGATCTTCCGATTACATGGGCTGCCGGCTGATTTAACGTCTTGATGTACAATTCCAGTAAGATAGGTTGGCATCCATCTGCTATGGGAGCATCAAGTGCATCGCCGAACACGAGCTCTGATCTCTGCCTGAAACGCACCAACACTAACTGTCTATGGTACGGAATGGTCGCCATTGAGTTTAGTCTGATGGAGATCTGCCTACGCCGTGTGGGGCCTGCCCGCCTTAGCAAGGAGCGTGTCAAGTTCTACGGATCAAGCTAAGATTTTGTGGAACCAGCCCGAATGTCCCTGACTATTCAAGCCTTGTGGCCGGGTATGAGTACCATGATTTGACTTGGAATATAACGTAGCCACATGAGAGTTTACTGACAGCCTATAGATACAAGAAACAGCTCCCCAATTGGCTGCATTGTCAATTATAGAGCCGCAACCGTCAGTCCCCTGAAGACGTATATTGCATAGTGTCATGCCGGGACGGACTAGGAGAAGACACCCCCATGGACGGGAAAGTGTAGAGGAATTCGGACACAAGTGTGAGATCACAAGCTGGAGGAACTATATCCGAAAACGAAGCCGAAGCCCGAGCAAAAATAAATCTGCCTGCTTGCCGATGTGGGTAGACAGACCCGGCAAACAAACGGCTAGGAATATGACGAGATATGTGCCAGATTATAGTCAAGGAGTAGTCATATTAGCCGGTATATCGGACCTGTAGACCGTGTCCGAATAGTGCGTAGGCTGCAGATCCTGAGAAGTATCACTGGTCTCGACGATGTTCAATCGCGGGAATGATGTTTCGGCAGACACGGGAAGCTTGTGGATCATAAGACCAATTCCCGGTGGATTTCTCCTGTGTATGAGACCTCTGGGGTGTAAGACGTTGGTGGTATCAGCAGGCTGCAAACTCCGTGCCATTTAAACAACGTTGCCTGCTGCTTTCGTCCTGTATTATCGATCAATCTTGCAACATTGATAGTTACGACAAATTGCTCTACCGCTTATACTTTCACCATGCAGCTCTCCTTGGTACTTGCCACCCTCGTGGCCACAGCATTCAGTCAAAAGGAGCTATGTGCTCAATACGACTCTGTCTCGAGCCCTCCATACACAGTGAACACCAATCTCTGGGGAAAGGACTCGGGAACTGGCTCTCAGTGCGTCTATGTTGACAGCATCTCCAGCTCGGGCGCCGCGTGGCATACTACATGGACCTGGAGCGGTGGTGAAAACAGCGTGAAAAGCTACTCCAACTCTGGGGTCTCCTTCGAGAAGAAACTTGTGAGCGATGTCAGCAGTATCCGCACCGACGTGGAATGGAAACAGGATAACACCAATGTCAACGCCGATGTGGCCTACGACTTGTTTACCGCCGCGGACAAGAACCACGTCACATATAGCGGTGATTATGAACTGATGATTTGGTAAGTATCCACCGATCACCCCCGAGCGATTCATTCTACCTTGCCTGTGCAGTAAGAAAAGTACAATAGGCTGACGCAGCCGGGGGTTCCCACATTCAAGGCTCGCACGCTACGGCTCTATCCAGCCCATCGGCGCAAAGATCGATACCACCACGGTTGCAGGACATACTTGGGAACTGTGGTACGGCACCACCACCCAGGCAGGCGCCGAGCAAAAGACGTACAGCTTCGTCTCGGCAACCCCGATCAACTCCTTCAGCGGAGACGTCAAGGCATTTTTCGACTATCTGACATCTAAGCAAAATTTCCCTGCTTCTTCCCAGTATTTGATCAGTAAGAACCACAACCCCAAGACGCGTGTGTAAGCCGAGTCACTAACAAGGGCACATCTACAGATGTGCAATTTGGAACCGAGCCGTTTACTGGTGGCCCAACAACTTTCACTGTTTCCAAATGGACTGCTAGTGTCAACTAGGAATATGGAGGCCTCATGCTCCTATTGCCAAATTGGGGAGGTAGCCCTTGACCAGGTGCAATGGCATGATACGCTCACTCCCGTCACCTACTGCTCCTTGATTTGCTTTGAAACATTATAGGTTGTACTCTGACTCGAAGAACATATTGAGTGTTGTTATATCAGTTATACAAAGACTTAGATAGTTAGCAATCACGTCCATTCGTTTTATAAAGGTCAGCAGTATTTACCTTGGCTGCTAACGCTCTGTCAAGCGGGTCACTGTCTTCACCTGGTGCTAGTCAGCTGATTCTGCCTGCTTAAATAAGCAATATTATCCACAATTCTATTTAGATATTCATATGGATATTATGTACGGAATATTCAAATATGAGGCTCCGGGGTCCCGCATGGAAGATAACGTGCGTTCAGACATAATTCAGATCCTAGGGCCGCAGTTCTGTTCCATCCGGCTGGAAAAGGAGCAATATTGAATACATTATATGCTAAATTGCTTTATATATATTGTATATCATTGATTTAAGAAGTGCATAGTGAAAAAGTAAAATATATAATATTAAATTTCAAAGTGCTGTTTACGGTGGAGAGTCACGGTTGATATAGAACATGTCACCTGTCGACACGTGATTCAGTTATCGCGCTTGATTCACGCGAGGTGGTCTGTTGGAGAGTTTGATATATCACTCGCGCAAGAAGCCCCCAACGAGCTTTCGCGTAAGATATGCATCCGGACCAGAATGTCGAGAGTGCTCCGGATGACGAAACTTCTACGGAGGCTGCCCCTCTAATCCTTCAGCCCGAGAATGAGACTGTTGCTCCTCCTGGCCAGGTGCAGCCTTATCGCCGCCTCGGTCTTCTCTCTACAACATTCCTGATGTCAGTAAGCAATCGTGCATCCTACTCAGCAATGCAACCCCTGGCTTTGAACTGTTCATCTCACTGAAGAATATACAGAACCAACCGGATGATTGGTACGGCAATTTTCTCTGTACCATCTGCTATTGCACATAGCACCGGAAGCGCCGGTGCATCCCTGGTCGTCTGGGTTGCTGGTTATTTTCTGTCGTTTTGTGGCTTCTTTATATACCTTGAGCTAGGAAGTCTGCTACCACATAATGGCGGGGAGAAGAACTACCTCGAAGCTGCCTATCCACGTCCGCACTTATTTGCGACCGTGATATTCGCGACGCATGTTATCTTTCTTGGCTTCGTCGGTATGTACAGCATCTCCTCCCCATCCCTGTTGTCATCAATGTTCTAATGCAACACAGGCATTGGAACTATTGCCATTGCAGAGAACTTACTCTTAGCTACCCAAGTAACAGCTAATGACTGGGTTAAACGCTGTATGGCAATCACTCTCATGGCAAGTGTCGCAGCGATGCATATCTGTGCGAAAACCTGGAATGTGAAACTTATGGTAAGGAACCGTCCGCATCATTCGATACTCTCCACTGTGAAAATTGCTTACACCAGGCTATAGAATATTCTTGGTTCACTTAAATTGCTTGTCCTGGCTTTGCTAGTTGTAGCTGGTCTTGGGCTCGTCATTTTCGGGTCACCAAATGTAGCTCACCCTGGCGTCAGTTATGAACGCCCGTTTGCCGGGTCATCGACCGACGTCTCGGACTACACAGTCGCCCTATTTAAAGTCCTGGCCACCTTTCAAGGTTGGTCCAACGCAATGTATGTCCTGGATGAGGTGAAAGACCCTCGACGAACACTCAAGGCAGCAGGCGTCCTGGGAGTCGGCTCTGTAGGGATTCTGTATGTCCTGGTGAACGCGGTTTTCTTCGTTGCGGCAACACCCATGGAGCTGAGTGAGACCGGTATCACGGTGGTTGCATTGTTCATTGGGAAGGTCTTCGGTCAGCATATGCAACGCTTCACAGCCATTCTTGCTGCTTTATCATCACTAGGAAATATCATGACCGCGTCTTTTTCAATGTCCCGAGTCATTCGCAGTTTCTCACAGGAGGGCTTATTGCCATTTTCTCGATTTTTCTCCAGCAGATCCAGCTCGGGGTCACCCGCTGGGGCATTTGCATTGGTCTTTTTCTCCTCATGTGTTATGATCATCGCTGTTCCTTTTGGTAAGTCTCGGCCCTGGTGGATGGGCAACGCCCGAGTTAACTCGCTTTACACTGCAGGAGAGGCCTATAATTTCCTACTCGACGTAGGACAGTGGGCCGTTGCACTGATTCAGTTCTTCGTCGTGTGTGGCCTATTCATTATCAGGAAACGTGTGACATACCCCCCTCATGCCTTCAAAGTCTGGACCAGCGTGGCTTGCCTCTTTTTAGCATCACAGATATTCCTTATTGTGTCACCCTTTGTGGCCCCAGTGAACGGCCGTACCGGCCTACCAGTTTGGCTTACGCCGCTCACTGGAACATTAGTGTTCTGCCTCGGTGGTATTTACTGGTATATTTGGTGGGTGTTGCTGCCAGAGTGGGGGAATTTCTCATGGGAAAAAAGCTCGCTGATTAGTCACGATGGGGAGCATGCGGTTGTCTGGCGACGCGTTCCAAAGAACTAACTCGCCGGTGATAGGGAAAATGAGGGAGGATTTATATGGGAATTGGCAGGCAACTTTGCAGAACACTAGCCATGCTGACCAGAGCTGCCTGGTCTGTGACCAATATATGCTCAAGCCATAACCGCGACTCAAGCGAGAAATCCGATAATAAATATACTTAATAAATGATCCTTAATAGCTATAATATAATACCACAAATTTCGGGATTATTCGGTATACCACTTTGCCGCTTAGACTATTAGGCTTCTCAAACTACTTTCTTTACTTTGTGCCAGGAGCATTGAGCATCTGCATTCTTGGTCTCAGGTCGCTTGTCTTCCATTTCATCATCGTTCTTGATCAACCACAGTGGCCTCAGCAATGAAGCGACTCGACCGATCCTGAACCTGAACATTTAGAGTGAATGAGATGCTCACAGCAGCAGCATTATTGAATACCTCAATTATCATTACTTTCAACAGTCTGCCAGACATACCGTATCATTTCCTGTCATCCTCGGCTTTGTACACACCCCCATTTTCTTGCGCTCTTTACGACTCGGGATATCGCTGTTCCTCCCTGGCATGAGACGGCCCGGGTGTATGACATTGAGTAGCACAAGCGCCAGCAGCATGGGCAGCGAGTCGAGGCAGTATTGGTAAGCCTCATGGGAGGGGATTGTGCTGTCGAGGCCCTGCGCGTATTCACATAAACGAAAGATAATACGCATCTTTTCTTCTTAGTTCCGCTTTCTTGTATGGGAGGTAAGTGCTTACAGTGATGAAGGCAAGACACGCGTAAAGAACATAGAGTAACTGCAGGGCCTTTTTCGTGTCCAGTGGCTGTTGTCGTAGAATCTTGCCATGCAGGCCGATAGCGCAGACTACGAACACCAGGATGAAAAGCTGTTGTACGCCCACGCCCGCCATATAGATATGCAGACCGGTCATCTCCGTGCTGTATGACACGTTGTTTCCGGCTGCTTGTGCTGCCCCGTAGACTTGTATGATAAATGCACTATGTTCATTATTAGTCTGGATGTCAAGCAAGAGTCGAGGAGAGAGGGAAAACCATGCATGATGTCAAGAGTCACGAAGAACAACCCAAAATGCCATGGCCGCATGCGCATCACCCGCGCGTCGTCGGTGAAGTTCCACACCATCCGTCCCATGGCCATGTAGACAAAGGCGTTGGTCCAGAGCGGGGCGATGAGGATGAGTACAAACCATGCCGCGTAGTCTTCGTAGCTGGCTGGGTTGAGGATGCTGAGCACACGGAAGATGTAGGTCACTGTTTGAATCGTCCCGGACATGGCAATTACCCAGCAATAGAATTTGCGATGCAGGATCGCCTGTGCGATATGGGCGAGAGTCGTCACGGCAAAGAGTACAGTGAATAGGTACGCAGCGCCGATTGATGGACAGAAGTTCCACATTGTATCCGGCGTCGTTAGGGCTATTGGGTCGTCAGCGATTTCGTTGCTGGCTCCAATCCGAAGTATGGAGTATTGTACCTTTGCATTGTGTCATGGTGGCTGTGATGATGTTGAGGAATACTCAAGAGGGACCAGAGTGATGATGAGAGGTCTCAACACAGAGATCATGGCTTTAAAAGCTATTCCATCTCTATATCGCTGCCTGATGGCAAGAACCTGTTGTCCTCGTGAAGCTTAGGGCTAGTATACAAGACTACCTATCTCATTGGTACTCTTATGCGCACACCAATCACATTGCTGGCGCTATCCGGCACAGCCGTTGTTAGTAACTTAGTATGCCCTAGCCTATTTTTAGACCGTGGGGGCCGTTCTAGAGCAATCTCATGTCTACCAAGGGCCAGTTGGATGAAATACCTATCCGGAAAGCTCTGCACTCTGGTAGCTAGAATCTAAACTGTAGATCGGAAAGATATAGTCTGAGAAGAACGGCGGGCGAGGAGTATAGTCCTTCAAGCCTTCTACTTTAGCACACCTTCGTAAATGAGGAAAGATAAGGCAGAACAAAGAGATACGAGAGTTAGCCTCATGCAGCCTCTCAGCACTAGTAACACGTCGCGGTAATAATAGCCCGTGCTGATGAGGATTGTGCCACCAGCGTACACTATGGCTGCCTGGTATGTGACCAATATACTTGTACAACCTATACGCGCGGCCCGAATGAGAAATCCGACATAGACCCACCCATTAGATGGTACACCGTTCACCTCCAGGAGTTAGATAATTTATAGTTCTATACGAAAAGTCTCGGGATTGCATCATATTAAACCATGAGCAGGGCACGGATGGTAGGACTCGAGTTGTCGAGCGCATGGGCTGGATAAAGCTCCATTTCCTTTGGTCGAGGTCTTGGAAATGTACTTTGGAGACCTGATACTGTAAATTAGGGTCTGAGGTAGGTGTAAAGAGAGACATTTGCTAAATTACGCGCAGTACATAAATGTAAAGCTTGTAGGGAAGACTAGTACTCAATAAGAGAGATTTACATTATGATCGGCGGTAGGAGCGAAGCTTGTGATGTCTTGCCTGGTGTTCTGTACTGTCAGATCCTATACCCCGGTTGGTATTTTTCGTATGTAACTAGTATACCTTATACATGTAAAACATCTACATGAAGGGGATTATCGATGTTTTGCCTGAAAACGGGGGTCCTGAATATACTATGTAAACCAGCAGTACCTTGACTTCGGCCCTCTCTCACAAGGCCATTCTTCTCTGTCTCTCGTTGCTTGGAGATCTTTCTCAGATTCTACCACTTCATCCCCAGCGCGGTAGGACCCGAGACAGATAATGCACAAGAGCAGAATGTTTACATTGGCCACCGCAACAGACCATGCTGCGCGGATTACCTCTGGAGACTCGGAGAGCAACTCCACACCGGAGGCATGCCGTTGGCGATGAAGATATCGTTGTCATTATTACTAATGCCCAGTGATGTGACTCGCCACCTGTCGCAGATTATGAAGGTGCTTCGGTATTTGTGCCAGCTGCAACACCATCTGCGATTGAATGACAAGTGGGCAAGTTGGCCAGATTGATTCCGATCCTGATCGCGCCTTGCCACAATTTCCCCTCAGAATCAGCGACCCCAATATTCAATAATGGCGCTCACAGAAGCCTTGGTTCTGGTCCTAAACCGGTGCGATCAAGATTCCTTGAGCGAGACCCGCCTTGATCTTATGGCCAGCCAGGGCATTCTGGGTGTTTTGTCGGAGATATTGGTCCAGTTGCTTAAGACACAGGATGTGGGCAAAGGCTACTGTGAGATTCGGCGGAGGTCACTTGCTATGCGCTCCTTGAATTGAAGCACCTTGACTCGTTTCCGTGGAGCTTGGAACTTGGACAGAAGGTTGACGCGGCCACTGAGCTCGCAACTCTGAACCTGCAGGAACGAGAAAGGAGTGGGAAGTTACCCAAGGTCATTGCAATGAGAAGATCAGTTACAGCTCGCGCTTACTCTCCTTGATTTACTGTGTGGCGGCGTTGGCGGCTCCACAATATCACCGCTAGGGCCCCAGGATCATACAGCCCCGTTTGATGCCCACGGAGGAGGAGATTACACTCCATATGTTGATACTGGGACCGCCGTGCTGCCCAATTTACAGGGGACTACAGAGGTCTCCACCCTGGCATCTATGTATGGCTTAGCGAATAGCTTAGCGACTGTAACCTTTCCCGCTACCTTGCCCTGGACCAACTGGCTCGAGTATGCTAGTTGGACGGTTGATATATTACCATTGTTACTGGTGTCTTACATACAAATGCATCCCTGCTTCATAAAACGCGTCCAATGGCCCCATGTCAGCGCTACATCACCACTAGTAGTATCACCCGTACTTAATATTTAATTGGTTTCTGGGTACCCTTTTGATCGCTTGTAGGCCAATATTTAATTCAAGGGTGAGCCCATTCATCGTTTTGTTCTCTTGTTCCTCCTACAGTCATTCAACAATACCCTAGGGATAGTTCATCGCATCCAACTCCTCTTTCTGACCCTAACTCCAAGTCTACAACAATGGGCCAGCAAGCATCCGTCCCCCAACCGGACACACAACTCCAAGTGATTGGCGCAGGACTCTCACGGACGGGGACCGCCTCGTTCAGTGCGGCTCTGGAGATCCTTCTTGACGGACCCATCTATCACGGCGGCACGCAAAACACCATGGGCCCGCCCCTGGAGATCAAATCCTGGATTCAAATCCTCCGGAGCTGGTTTGCTGGCGACCGTGCGACCACTCTCTCCCTCCTCCAGCGACGGACCACCGGTTACGCAGCCATCACCGACGCACCCGCCTCGCAATTCGTGCCCGAACTTCTCGCCCTCTACCCCGACAGCAAGGTCATCGTCACCGTCCGTGACCCGGAGGCTTGGGTCAAGAGCATGCAGCAGATCAGCTCGCTGGCTAAACTGTGGTTTCTAGGCGCGGTGCTGCTGCCACTACCAGGTAACGTAATATACCAACATTCTCTGAGGCCAGTCGGCCACTGCTACAAGACAAGAAAGAAAGAAAAGCTAACGTCAATCTATCAGGGATGCGACATTTCGTGACCTATATCTCCCTGCTACAGGCACAGTGGGATAAGATCTATGACGGCTCAAGGGATAACGCCTATATCTACGAGCGCCATCTGGAGTGGTTGAAAGAGGTCGTTCCCGCAGATCGGCTGGTCTTCTTCAATGTGAAAGATGGCTGGGGCCCCTTGTGCGAGGCCCTGGGGAAGGAGATCCCCAAGGATCTCCCTTTTCCTCGTATTAATGATTCCAAGGCGATCGATCGCGTGGCTGAGTATCACATCAAGAGAGGGCTGGCGCGTTGGGCAGTCGCCTTTACAGTGGTTGGGGCCTTCAGTGCCTGGTGGTTCATGAGGGTTTAAGGGGTACGTACGTTGGGTTGTGACAATGTTGGGTTGTACAAGAACACCAACTGGACTGGCCCAAACTCCAGCATCCTACACCCAGGTGGTGGTATGTGTCAAATGAGTTCTAGTATATCAGGGTAAGGTGGCGAGTTCAACCTAAGACGTAGATGTGTCGTCTGCTTTGGATGAAATTCCAGAAAAGGTGTCTCAAACGGAAGGACTTCTCCTTCACAATTGACTGTCCCCGGTCTGATCGAATTTGTATTTACCGCGATCTATGGGAATCAAAAGCGTCTGTTAACCACTGTGAAATTTCAACTGTCTCCCAAACTATGTGTCAAAAATCTTCGGGTTGGGCCTCGACCGATTGGTTTCTATTGTGGCCCTATTACAGAGCCAGAACTGCTGTAGTACAATACCGCGTGGCCTGTATGATATTGTGAACCTTGCAGAATAGGGCTTGCTTGGTGGTTATTATACAAGTAACCGGGCTCTGGTTACGATAGGAAGGCTGCCTGCGGAGAAGGGTATGTTCTATTCATTCGTTTCGCTCTACTCTGTGTGTCGATTGTGAGTTTGGGGTTTCCAGCTTTTGTTTCTTTTTAGATTGGAATATCTCTACTGAAAATCCTTGTGGAAATAGAATCTGGTTTCATTGAGTGTTTTTTATAGGCGATGTGGGTGCGATTCTGGCCGAGCTAGAAATAGTCTCAAGTATCCAGTACATGGGAGTTTAGATGGTGACATGGTTCCGATTATAGTTATGTGTTTATTGCCGAGCGAAGAGGGCAGGATGGTATAGTAGACAAAAACCCGTAGCCCTGTGTCGATCAAGACACATTGCCTTTACTATAAAGCCCTGCATATCATAACGAGGGGCCATCAAACGATCTGTTCACATGAGGCCAAACCACTAGTGCATATTCAGTGCTACTCAAGATATCTGTTCTCATTTCGATCTCAGAACAACTACACTTGGAGCCTATTCAATAATTGTCGTTAACTTTGGTAATCGGCAACTGGAACAAGATGAGCTTCCAGCCAGCTCTGTTCTCCGTACGCTTTATGACGAGCTACATCTAGTACTAGGTTTGATGTGGACTTTTCTCTGCATTCACTTCATCTAGGTGCATTTCCACTTTACCGCCCCTTTTCCCTTCGCGCATGCGAAGTCTTTATAGGAACTACCAGTATTATGCAAGGCACTGATCGCTCGTTGATCTAGCATATTGTTGATTGCTAAGTACGAGGAAGTGCATCCAGGTAAACAGGCTCCCAACTAGGCCAAAATGTCGCATTATTCTGAATGTACAATCCAGAATGCCCTGAACCGCAACTACTTAGCTTATCGCCGTCACACTAAGCCCTATCTAAAAGGCAGCTATTTAGCTGAACGTGGTCCAAACACTTTGGCTAGTGTCTGAGGCAGCCTTTTCCCCACGCCCTCGAACCATAGTAGATAAGCCTTGACATCTCTCATGCTCATTAAGGCACCTAGTAGCAAAATGATATAAGTGGCGATGGCTCTCGTTACTTGCAATGACAGCCTCTCATTGGGACCTGTGATCTACTTCCCCCAGAGTATATTTCTAGACTCTTCATATGCCTTATTCCTCGTACAATGCAGTTTCAACCTCAGGAATCACGTACCAACCTCAGGAGACTGAGGATGCTCTGCCAATCCAACATAGGGGCCACAGGGCCATTAAAACACATTCAGACACTAGGAGACCGCCAAAGTCGAGTAGGGTTATCACAACGACAAAGCCACGATCGCAAAGCGCAATTTATATCTCCTCGAAATAGCTTGATTACGATATAGTTTTGGGCGAGCTGGACCATGAGAGCAACGGCGCTATTCGCTTTGGCCCTGCAGCTAACTGGAAAACGTGCAATAAAGAACACAGGACACTGAGTACAGTGGTGCAGAAACTCAACCTTTTGAGAACCCGTTAGCCCTAACCATTCCACGGAAAATTATAGATATCATCAAGCTAGCAGAAAAATATATTTATCTATCAAACTACGTGCAATACCGTATTCAAGCATTTGAGGTCATCCTTCCCGCGGCCTGTGACTAAAAATGAAGAAGACCTACTGCGGGTACGTTGGTTAACTTCATTGCGTTACCAGGTTGGGGGGTTGCCCTATTTGTCCGATCTAACTTTCGATTATAGTGGCTGGAGAACCAACATTCACACAACGGGGTTCCTTACGAGGCTCGGTTGGGCTCTTGGAGACCGGACTTTCTGGTCGGGAACTACAGCGACGGACATTCAACGGAAACCTACAGTCTCTCAGAAATTAATGCACGTTTTTGTTTCAACAGTATTATGCACCAAGCATACGGACAAGAAGGCCTGAGCGATCTCGGTGCAGGAAGAAATGGTCTCATCCATGCTACCGATTCTTCAAAGGTAGAACTTTTCTATATCACGCACTGCCATGGTATTGCGACATTCATTTGACTAACCCTTGACTATATATACAATAGATCCTGAACGGCTTGCTCAGCCTTTTCAATCCAAGCCGTCCATTGCACCTGCTCAAGGGCGAAGAGCCGGGAATTGATATCCACATGTTTATCGACTTCGTGTACCGTCACATTGGAATCAGGCCACGGCTGATCGCGCCTGCAGATCTTAGGTTAATTCCAGATCCCCAAAGTACAAATGGGGTTAAGCTGTGTTGTTTGGTGAAAGACCAAGGTGATGCTTTGCTTGTTAATGATTCTCTCCTTCTCACCAGTGACGGTGAGGTTGTGGAAGAGGTACACCAGGTTGGCCTAGAACTTCATCAGCACGAATTATTCGGGCTCTCACCTGAGATACTGCGTCAAGTTAGCTTACGCTGCTTTAACGACATGCGTACTATTTTTCTTGTTCACGATAAACGAATGCTTGGTATTATCAAGCAGGAGATCCCGACCCTGGTAGCACGGCAGGTACTAACCGCGGTTCAGGGAGAAGCCCTTGATGCAGGCATCGCAGATTCTATTATCCCTGGAACCCCAGAATTGAATGAACTGATTCAGGCTTCGGCTACTTCCCCGGAGCTAAGAAAGGAATACTTGCTCAAGCCGATTCGCGGAGGCAAGGGAGCGGGGATTATATTTGGAGATGAAGTCAGACCCGACGAGTGGCTATCGACTCTTGAGTGTCTCCGCAAGCCTCACTTTGTTTCGGGAAACACCATGTATGTCGTGCAGCGTCGCATCTGGCCACGTCTGTATGAAGTCATCCTCAAGTCATCTGGTGACAGAGGTTATTATCCACTTATTGGAACCTATCACGCAACCAATGGCCAGCTGCTAGGGCTAGGAACATGGCGAAGTAGTCCGGACAGAATCTGTGCTGTTAGTCATGGAGGCGCGTGGATTTGCTCAGTCTTGGATGAGTACTCGCAGAGCTGAGAGATATACTTGCTGGTTTCTGGATCTAATAATTGCCTGACTGGTGGGGAAGCGGAAAATATCGACCCATGCCTACAAGGTCCTACAATATAACTCGAGGTCTACGTGCACCGTATGAATTGACTATCGCAACCCACGATCTATAAGAGCGTCTAGTCGAGGCGTACTGTTCCAGTTGATAGGAATCATAGACAACTCACGGTGCGTACTGGAAGCTTTCGTGCGCTTTGACCCGTTTCAATCACAACTCACATTACACAGAACTTTCGGCTTTCTCGTCATCTGCATGTGGGGATTCCACTTAAACATAGACTTTTAATCGTTTGGGCTAGCACCATGTACCATGCTGGATGAGGCTATCGTATGGTGACCTCGAGGGCGAGGCGGCACAGCTGTATGACTGGGCAGTGGAGCTTCCAACGAGTACTTCAGCTAGTCTTCAATAAAGCAACTCTTGTATCAAAGCATTCATGTACACAGTGAAATCGCGTATCCATTCTCTTAGCTCGATTTACGTAATTTAGTCTAATTTCTCAGCTGTGAGACCTACACGGTGACATACATGTCCTGTGTCCAGGCGACATCACTCTCCCCATTCTACCCTGCGTCCTTCCTTGGGGATCCGGTGGCATTCCTCGCGCAAAGACGGCCGGCTAGATTATGAGGCTCTCCTCTCCCAGGCCAGATTACGGTGTTGTTCATCGCAGTCCTCCGAAAAATCCAGTCGCCCCTCATGCAACATCTAGGACGTCATTTCTGCACCGCTCGATCAACGAGCAGATATGCTCGATTTCTCAACATAAGCACAAGCCCTGTGCAATCTCTGCTGGGGATACAAAGACCAGCTCGCCAATTCGCTACAGACTCTGTGCCCGCAGTACCTCATCTAGTGGCACGAAATCTCAGTGACTCTCAACACCCACCCCATGTTCGCGATATACATAACCACCTCCAGCATGACGGAATCCTCAAAATCAGCCTGAGCTTTCCTGATGACAACAGCCACTACTTGGAAAGCCTTATTATCAGTCTCTCCAAAAGCCATGGTCATGGCCTCCCCATCACCCATAGCGCATCCCGTGGCTGGTTCTGGGACGTCCGCCCCAGCGAGACCATATTTCAGACAGCAAATCACCAAGCTCGATCGGAAACAATGCAGGAATTTCCCTGGCACACAGACTGCAGCTACGAGCACGCCCCACCGCGGTTCTTTGCGCTTCAAGTTCTCCATCCCGATCGCTACGGTGGGGGCACCCTCTCCGTCATGAAAATTGATCGACTGAGCCAGTTTCTCACCCCGGCCGCCAAAGCAGCTCTCTTTGAACCGGAATACCAGATCACCATCCCGCCCGAGTTTATCAAGGATCCTGATCAACGTCATATTGTGGGTAGCCTATTCGCCCTCGACACGCAAGATCAAGGCCACTCCCTGATAATGCGATACCGTGACGAGATCGTGGCGCCTTTGAGCGCCAGGGCGGCTGCGGCGCTAAAGGAGCTCAAGGACGCCTTGCAGAACCTGGAGGCGCTGTCGCAATGCACGTTGCACCTTACCGCAGCTGACCTCCCGGAAAGATCGATCATTCTCCTCGATAATTACCGGTGGCTGCATGCGCGGAACGGCATCAAGGACCCAGCGAGGCATTTACGCCGGGTGAGATGGAATGCCGTTCCGTTTGCTACTAGTGATGTCTCCTGAAGCAAGGATATGCTATGAGGCTCTTGAGCAGCTCTTCTTTCTTCCTTTTTAAATTGCTCTTTTTTTTTTCACTTTATTATCTCGTGTACGTAATGCGTGGGTTGAGCTTCTGCTGCAGAAGGCAATGGCGCCATCCACTTCGTGTGGAATTATATGACTACTGCAGATTTTAATTGGGAAATACATGTTCAGTCCGGAACACTCACGGAACAAGGATGTATCTACAAAAGATAGGAGAAGCCAAGAGTAATTCCAATGACCAAAATGCTGAGGGAATGATCCACAGCGGAGGTCATGGAAACCGAAGAACTCGGATATTTCCACGAACCCATGGATCGAGTACGGGAAAAGATCGGACAGGCTTCCTGGCAATTAACCTTATGGGCCACTTTCACAATGAACTTCCTCATTTGACTTTCTCCGAGCAAGCAAGGGTCATATCGTGGCATGTGCGGTAGCGAGTCTCGGCCAAGGTGAAGAGCAAGAAGCGAGAACAGGAAAACAAATCCTAAGATCGCACGCGAAAGATCCAGCGTCCAGCCGCGGGAACACCGGTTTGAGACCGCAGATCTTGTTCCGTTCCTCCTGGCGTTGATCCCATCTCCGGGAGCATTGGCATTATCAGACGAAAATAGCAAGACAATAAGATTATTGTGACTTTTGGTCGCCCTTATTAGATGACATCCCGGTGTTGACAAGACCAGCTACACAGAAGCAACCTGCCTAGCATCCTCCCATATTGCGTCCCCTGTGAACAAAGCCAATTCAACTCTTTAAAAGCCCCCTCTGCCCTTCAGCACCGTGTCCCTTTCACTTCCAGATCTCCAACTCAGGACCCCATATGCTTATGGCAATTGAGACGGCCATCCCTTGCCCACAGCACAGAATCTATAACCACATATCAGCGACCCACCCACGCCCCAAAAAGCAGGAGACTTACCAAGATCAAACTTGACCTTAAGCGACTTATCCTTCGAGTGGGGAATCTTATGCTTCGATTTATTCTCCACATTATCGCAGTAACATTCGAATTCCCCTTTAGAAGGGTTGCCCATGACTTGAGTAAAATAATCGCAATTCCAGCAGTCACCCTTCATGAGTCCCTTGCCATCCGACTCCGGAGTCAACTTCTGTGTCTGTGCATTCCAACCAACGCACTTGTCCAAGTCCAGCGTTGTCTCTCTCCAGTCTCCGTCCGGGAGTGCTTTCTTGGGGTCTAACATCGGTCGACGGCAATCGGCTGTCAGTAGGACCTGGCGATAGGGGGTTGTGATCGTAGTGGGCCCCTTTCGTGGTTTTTTGGCGGCATCCTGCGCTGCGGCCGTTGCTCTTGCTTCGGGTGAGGTTACCTTGACCTTGAGATAGCGGCATTCGTCATGTAATGCTCCTTTGTTGTTGACGTTGTTGTTCGTTCTGGATATGCCCCCGGAAGAGTCAGACGTCATGTCTGTCATGGGTATACCTTCATCGGCTGGAGGTTGCTTGGGCTTCGACAAGATTCCGCCTCCGGCTACCAAGGCCGAGAGGTATAGAGTAATTATTATGACGAGGTGATGCATTTTGCTTGCTTTGATTAAGCAATAATGTATTGAAAAGGAAGATGGTGAGTATGGAAGGATTTGAGTACCGGGGACGGTTGTGCTCGGGCCTATTTATGTGAATCTACTCTGTAGACACCGCTTCTCTGCAGCTTCAGGGGAGGTTTATTTCCACTACAATACCTTCCTCTGAGTACCCAGTCTCTATGATAGAATTTGTTTCTTTGTGACGCCAAGCTGGGGCGCAGGGCAACAGCTTACACGGTTTACATTGGGGCAAACGGGAAGGGCAGCAGCTAAGTTTTCCAGGGGTCGCCAGGTACGACCAATGGGTTTCAGGGGGCGGAGATCTAAGAATCATGATATGATTGATAACGGAGACATGCATACTGCTGTCTACAGGCGAGAGCTGGAAAGCGTCTAAGCCCATCCTACTGGTGCTGTGGTTGAATGAGATATCAAACATTCTACGCAATAGAACACAGTGAAGCATCGCCAAATTCCTCTACAACCTCACGAGAATCCATTTCGTAGCACGGCTGAGAAGAGACAAAGAATGTACCCGCCTATGGGTCATCGCTGCCATCTAGATGTCTTTATGCAGAATGATATCTGGTTGTGTATCCTCTACGAGCACCAAGGTACCGCTATTTGTCCGCAATGTTCCCACAAGGTTCTTTATCTGATCGTCAGTGTGGCTCCTGATATGACTCAAACATCCCTGCAATCTAAAACCCTCGTGTAGAGCTTTCCTATATGCTATAAGCCCCACGGACCTTATATCTACACCGGCATTGCGTTCGGAAAGGTGCGATCTGACAAGGGCATTATTCCCAACATCCGGCTCGTATGATCTTCTTGTTTTGCGAGAATATCCGGAAAGAATTGTCCTTCTTGTAACATGTTGAGTAATAGAAACTGTGAAGGTTTGGCTCGGTTTCCAAACCGAGCTGTTCTGTTCTCCTTTTCTCTTTCTTTCTCTTTACTCCCTTTACATTACTCACAGCATGCTGCTACAAGTTCGGCATAGGGATTATACCTATAGCTCATGTTATTGGCATTTTGCAGGTTCATGCCAGCAGGAATATAGACATATGCTAACACACCGCTAATCGTCAAGTTAACGCGATGGATATACTTATATACATCTATCTAACGAGCTGGTCGTATGAAGCATTGCTAAACGGGAATACCGCTAATATATCTCCACTTTCATCCCTTCAGCATTGCTAGTATCTCCAAAGCAACTATACTCTAATTCTACACTATCTGAAACACCTACTCGGAACCCAAGAACAGGGAAACAAGAGTACCAGCCGCCCCTGTTTCCAGAACCAAATCACAGGTTTCAACAGCACAGGTCCCCCGAATCCCAGATCCAGCAACGGTATATAGCAACAAGACCAAAGCCAAATCCTGAGCCAAAAAGCCCAGCAACAAATCCACCGACCGGCCAAGTACCGTTACCATCTACGCATCTCTAACCTCTCGCCTCCCAAATTGGTCCAGCGCGACCTGGCTTCCAGTATGGCCAAAGCAAGTCAAAAAGCCATCATGAGTAGCCTCTACCAGCCCATCTACCGCGTCTCAGTTAGCAAAAGTTCCCACAACCGAACAGGGGAAAAGAAAATGTAGCCCACTCACCCAAACTAACCGATATCCGATCATCAGCCTTCTTCTTAACGCCGCACACGCATTTGAGGTCAGGCTTCGCGTAGAAGCAAGACGAGCAGTCGCCCTCCTTGATCCCGTTTCCACGGGACTTTGGGTAGAGTTCTTCGGTATCCGGGTTCCACCCAAGACATAGGTTCAGGTCCAGCTTCGACGTCCTATATCCTCCGATGCGACGGTCGCATGTGCCCCAGATGGCCTGCGGCCGGCTGGGAGGTCGTATGGGATTGAGCTTTTTGGTCCCGTCTTCGTTGAGAGGGCGCTGCACGCCCTCGCCCGCGATCGAGGGCCCCTCGCCATTGATGTAGATGCCGCGGCATTTCGCGTTGATGTTGTTTCTTTCTTGCTTGGTGTCTTCGATCGGGGTCTTGGATGGGTCTTTGCCGCCCGCGGCTGCTAGGGTTGAGAGGTAGAAAGTGAGGAGGATGAGTAGGGTTCGATACATTTCGACCAATGTGAGATGCGAAACGGGGTATGGTGTGGTAAAGGTGATATTAAACGAATTGGAAACCAAGGTGGAAGGGTGTTTTGTGCTGGGCTTGAGCGGGCTATTTATCTTTGTCCTGTGTTGGCCCGGGGGTTCATTGTACTTTTATATAGGGGATTAAGGTTCGTTGTGCCCTTCGCGGTCTGAGTTATTTAATGGGGCTACTATATGGGGTTCTTTGTGGCGGAAGGGTCTACCATGAAGGCTAGACCAATGGCTAGACTAGCTATGTGCTTTAGCAAAGCGCCAGGCTGATAGCTTAGTGGCTCTGTGGAGGTATTCTGGAGGGTAATGGAGTTACTACGGCCGACTGAGCTCTCACCTACTCCCGACCTTAGTGTCATTTAAGGGATGCAGCCTTAGATGAGATGGGCCCCATACCAATGAGGATGTGGTGGCATGTTGTGTATGTTCAACCGGAAGACTGTATACTACTGGACAGCGCAGGCTTCTAGCGATAAGGGGAATTCCAATGTGAAGCTGGGGTGCTGGGCAACGGCCTGCTATAACGGCCAGCTCGGGCGACACGGGAAGAGCTTGACCTTGAGCAAAATGGCCATGTTTTTGTCCGGGCACGGAATGAGAGTTGAAGTTTAATCAGGGGGCTTTGCATCTGGCAGAGGATGCGGGTTTATTCAAAATGGAGAGCCCGTCTGGATAGTTCAAAGAAAGTTCTCTGCTAAATTCAATGATGTAGTACAGATGAGATGTTTAATCTCTCTCGCTGTCAACCGCGGGATACTAGAAACAGCAGACTGTCGTCGGGCACAGGAGACAGCAAGTCCAATGTTACGCAGGCTCATATCAATCTTTGAATGTTGTTTCTCTCGGTGTATGCTGCTCTGATTTGCCAGGAAGCAAGACACGATTCTCACTACTTGACCCATATACATACTAGAGCCTACGTTGTGACCAGCGTCCTTACCCCTTTGGCTATCAACAATAAAATTATGATTTGCCATTAGAATCACCGTCAGTTTTGCCCGGATAAGCCAATGTGCCCCGTTGTCACTGTCGACGAGGCTAACCCGGTCCTATTCCCATAGACCCCTCGCCTGTCTTGTTCCATAGTTGTTCCTGAGTCCTCCTCCAAATCCTCATACACCGCTACCTGTGTGTGCTGCCAAATCTCCAAACTCTTGTCTTCCCGTGTGATGTGCTCCATGCTTTCCGACGACATGGTATGCTTTCTTGACCGGCCGACCGAGAGTTGCGCCAGTTCGTGCGGCGGACCGCTCTCGGGAGAATGCGTTGGTTTCCGACGAAGTGCTATGTAGGTACCGAAGATCGTGAAGCCGTGCACTTTTAGGAGCCGGCGCAGGAGCGTATAGCAATTTGGGGCGTTGGTCACAATGACGGCGGTGCTGGCCTCTCGCACGTACCAGAAAATCCACAAGATACTATTGGGATGCGTGAAGCAGTAGTATCGGCTTAGTGTGGCTGCGACCACAACAAAGATTCCCAGACCGAACACACACAGGAGGGCTAGCTTTCTGTCCGATGTCAGTTCTGCCTTCGCGGCTGGGAGTGTTCTATCTTTTGGTAACATACTTCCTCCAAAGCAATTGTAAACTGAGGAATACCGGTATGGGGATGCAAAGCATGGCCAGGTCCGAGGATAGATTGAAGGCATATGACATGATTAGATGGTGCTGGGCGCCCTCGCATTGTGCTCGATATATGTCAGCATACGATTTATTCCGGAGATATCCATCGTTGCTCACAGTCATTGTCTGCTTTGACGACGAAGTAATTGGAAAATGGCCGACACCACACCCCGTAATAGAAGACTTCTACTATGACAAAGCTTACTGCAATGTAGGCCATCAGGATCTTGACTGGAAGAGCCATCTTTGTTCCTGACCTGTAATTCCTATCAGTGTGCGCTTGTTGACGGACCATTGGTGAAAGAAGGACGCAAGAGGCTTTCACGTACGTTAGTCGGTAGTACACTAGAATCATACAGGCTTTGCACCCCCATTGCACCAATACCATGGACTGTTCCAGAACAAAGGTGATTTTGCTTCCGTAGATGCGATCCTGAATGTCTTGGTCGGTAAGACCCTGCATTCCTGTCGGCGGCAAGATATTGGTTTTGGGGTATTTCGCTTGAATGTTAACCCAGACGATAAAGTTGGTGTAGAAGCCCTGTCTGCATCTTCAGCCTCTACTTTGCAATGGATCTATGGGCCACAGTGAACAGACATAAGTCAACAACATGATATAATCCTCCACCATCAGACCCTTCAACCCACCCAGGAGCATACCCCTGGAGATACTGGAGACGGGTGTCAGACCGAGCAACGGAGCGAAAAGAACCGCTTACTATCGCCAGATAACCACGACGCTGGTGACCGCAAACCAGGTCCATGATTCCACCAGGCGGTCGTCGTGCATGCTGAACGATCCAGCCACATCGGCGCAACTTGCCTACTGACAAAGGGGGAAGGAAGGCCATGTTGTCTTATATATGGGTACATCGTGTCAGCAGGTCTCAAACCCACCAGCATCCTCGGAGAAAAGATTTTCTTGCTATAGTGTCTTGTGTTGGATATAGACCGGGGTGTGTACAAGGGAATTAAGCCCGGTCTCGGCTTGACTAGTTTACTTCCCAACCCCTGTAAGCGGTTTTAGTGCTCCTTTTTAGCTTACTGGGGCCCACTGAAGTATATATTGATCTGCAGGAAAGATGACAGCGGGCCGAAACTGCCCGCTGTCATCATCGTGCCAAAAGTCCCATGTTGTTGTATCCACCTTGTTTCTCATGTGACCTTAGTCCAGTTCAATATCACTATCCGGGCGCTATCGTAGCATTCCCGGTTTGTCTATCTGGTCGCAGTATTTGAGATAGGGGGATTCACAATGAGTTCTAGAGATGTTGGTGGTGCCCTCGTGCGGCGTCACTAGGGATCCTTATTTCAATCAATATAGGGCCACAACCCTACGTACGATTACTGATCTCACCCTGAGCTGTCTCAGGTAATAATATGCACGTATCATGCAAGGGATTGGCAGGAATGACGCTAGCAAGGATTGAGGTCTCAGTCGGAGGATTTCTCAGATCCCCGCCAACGGAACCACCGATAAGAGTGCACATGCTGGCAGATAGAAAAGACTTTTTGTTGCTTGTTAAGGTCCCCATGCCCCGCTCTCTCTGTGCTACCGCTCCTTGGCTGTTGTTCATTTCTCATTCCATTCCGCTTACCTTCCCTCTCGTCGTGGCCAGAGCACAGATATGGAGATGGAGCGCGAACAGAAGAGCCTCTGGCATGTGGGTATCGAGTCGCACGAGGGCTCCCTCGAGTCACCCGCTGAGCGCACAAATACTGCGGTGGACCCGGGGGACGAGGGGGAGAAACGCATGAGGCATCTTCAAGAGGGCCATGGTCTCCTGCGATCGCTGCGCAATTTCGAGACCTGGGTCGACTACCGATTGGGCGTGGAGGCCATGGGGGTTGAGCGAGTGCCAGAGGACAAGCGACGACCACCACAGAAACTGAATGTATGTAATCGTGTCTAGAGGTGAGCATGAGGGGCCATTCGCTCATTCCTGTTCACACTGAGAGGCTGGACTGACACGCCCGACCCCGCTTAGATGATGTTCTTTTGGTTCTCCGTCCTGATAAGCCCAACCCTGATCCCTATCGGCTCGCTGGGCCCTATCTTCGGCCTCTCAGTGCACACCTCAGTTATCTTGACGATCTTCGCGGCTCTCCTCGGGACCATGGTCCCCGCTTTTACCGCGACACTGAGCCCGCCCAGCGGCCTGCGCCAGGTGGCAGTGGCCCGCTATGCCTTCGGCATCTGGGGAGCGAAGTTCTGCGGCTTCCTGAATATCATCGTCAATGGGGGATACGCGGTGATTGCCGCGGTGGTCGGCGGCCAGCTCCTTGTCGCCGTGTCTGGCGATTCGATCCCACTCGCAGCGGGTATCGTCATAATCGTCGCGATTGGCTTCCTCGTGTCGTTTTGCGGCTTCACTCTCATCCACCACTACGAACGGTACGCCTGGATCGTTGCCCTGGTCCTCATCTGCGTGACATGGGGACAGGCCGCCCGGTACTTTAGTCCCACCCCTGGGCTGAGCAAAGTCAGTGGCATCGACTACAGCGGTGCCTGTCTGAGCTATTTCGCCGTTGTCTTCGGCGTCGCCTGCTCGTGGTGTCCCATCGCAGGCGATTACTACATCCACTACCCAGCCGACACAAGCAAATGGCTCGTCTTCTGCCTCACCTACTTCGGCCAGGTCCTCCCCACCATCTTCGTCGGTACACTGGGCAACCACTTCGGCGGCATCATCATGTCCAACGACGAGATGTCCACAATCTACAGCACAAAAGGAACCGGCGCCTTGATACTAGCCACCCTCCGACCAGCAGGATGGGCCAAGTTCGCCTGTACCATATTCGCCCTAACCTTTCGTAAGCACCCAACCCACGTCCCCCCACCAGACAACACAAGAACGAACGACAAAACACTAACAAGACATAGTCGCAAACGTTATAGCCAACATCTACTCCAGCGCCCTATGCATCCAACTCTGGGGCAAACACTTCCTCGCCATCCCGCGCTTCATCTGGTGCGCCCTGACATCCGCCGTCGTGCTCGCCCTCGCCTGGGGCGGCCGCAACAAGCTGGAAGCCATCATCGACAACTTCCTCGCCATCCTCGGCTACTGGACCCTCGCATTCGGGCTCATCCTCGCCATCGAGCACTTCTGGTTCCGGCCCCGGCTCGGCGGCTACGATCTCAGCGCTTGGCAGGATCCGACGCGCATGCCGGTCGGGCTGGCCGGAACAGCGGCTTTGTTGATTGGAATCGGGTTCTCGTTTCTGGGCATGGCTCAGACTTGGGTATGTCCTTTCTTTTTTTATCCCTTCCTTTTCTCTTTTGTTAGTTGTTTGGTTGTTTGGGTGTGGTTGGGCATTTGGCTAATGCGGATTTTGGGAGGATAGTATGTGTCGCCCGTGGCGAAGAGGATTGGGGCAAATGGTGGTGATGTGGGGGATTATCTGGTTTTTGCTTCTGTGGGAGTTTTTTATCCTGTTTTGAGGACTTTGGAGATTCGGTTTGTGGGGAGGTGAGTGGGCTTTGAGTGAGTTGGGTTGGTTGTTGGGTAGATGTGTGTTGTTTGTGTGTGATGGGATCGGTGGAATGGGGGGGTGTCTTGATGAATGTGATCATGAAGCTTTGGATATCATTTGTTTGGATTGGATGTTATTCATGTAGATGTGTGTAGGAGCCATTGGATCATCATGAGAAAGCGATCTGAAGAGGCTGTGGTACGGATCTGACACACATAGTGTCAGTGCCAAGTGGATTATATATACTAGTACATCTTCCCAGCCCCGTCGGGAATGATACCAGTATATTCCTTTCCTACTGACTCGATCTGCTGGGTCCACTATATGCCTTCTTAGACTACTGGAAAACGTTTGCTTACTGAGATATATATAGTTCTACTATAACCATCTCCCACCGCTAGGGAACAACCTTCTCGTCTTTCGCCGCCTCGTCCAGCAATTCCTCAACACTGCGGGCCCGGAGACCCTCCAACAAGCCCGTCCCCCACGTCAAAGCCCTATCCTCGGGAACCTTGTTGCAGTTGGTAAAGCCCATCAGTCTAAAGTACTCCAAGTCGACATTTTCCCCGGCCAGCTTCCCCGACGTAATCCTTTCGATCACCTCAGCAAACGGCAGTTTCTTCAGTGTCCATGTTGGATCCCGTCTCTTGATCAACCGATACAATTCCAGATAGGTGAAGGTTTGCCCCCCAAAGTGAGTAAATTCGTTCCACTCGATCTCGTCATGCTCCAACATCGACAATGCCGCCCGAGCCACATCCCGGACCGACGTTAGCGTCACCTTCTGCTGCCCATCCGCGTACAGCTCAAACACTTTATTGTGGTGATCCATAACCCATCCCACGCCGACGTCATGTAAGTACCGCTGCGAGGCGGGCAGAACGTAGTCCATGAACCACCCGTTGCAAACCATGGTCCATTTCACCTCGTGCTGCGCGCGGAGGGCTTTCCAGATGGTGTCTCGGGAATGTGCGATCATGATCGGTTGGTCTCCGAAGTCTTCCACGTTGGTGGTCCAGGACGAGGGCAGGAAGCGCTTGCATCTTGGGGATCGGGTGCATGCTTCTAGAAGTGCCAGATGGGCGGCGATATATTTGTCCTCGGGGCCGCAGAAGGTGGATACCACGGCGTCGCAGTCTTGGAGGTGCAGTGTGAGATCCTCGACGCTGTAATCGGTAATCTGTTGTTTGAGGGGTAGGGTCTCTAGGAGCGGTTTGTGTTTGCTCGTGAGAAGGACCACTTCATGCGCAGATCGGCTGAATTCTTCGACGAAGTAGGTGCCTACGTCACCGGCGCCTGCGATGGCAATCTTCATGCTGGAGGACTTACAGGGGTGCAGTCCAAGGACCTTCGTGTGTCTCTTAGGTTGGGCTCGGACACATTCATGCCGATAGGAGTGGCGCCGTCTTTTTAAGAGTGCCCATGGTGGGGATATGGTGAGACTTACGGAGAAGCTGTGTCTTACCCATTGATCCACCAGCCGGGTTATGCGACGTGGCTCATTCGGCACATTGGACCATGCTGTGTATAAGGTGGATTGTCAACCCCACCTCGCTTAAGAAACTTTGCTATCATATGGAATCAGACTTGGTTTGGGAGAGAATGTCTCATCACGGGGGAGGCGCCAAGTGCATTAGCTCCGCAGGATAAGCATAATCCATGACGGGATTCTCAGCCGAGAGCGTACTCTTATCTTGATAGGTGTAATTTCTCACTTACGGTCCCGATAAAGTTCCCCGTAGGCCGCTTGGGCGCTGCAATCAAGTGCTCTCACCACACGACGTATATCGTCGTCAGTGGTTCGCGGATTGATCGTACACATCCGGAGACCAACCACCCCTCCCAGATGAGTGGTGAGTATGAACGCGATGTTGTCAGCGATCAAGTCTTTCGCAACGCGAGTGTTCATCTGGTCGAGAAGCCTTTCATCCACGCCGTGTGGGGCAAAGCGAAAGTTCACGATGGCTAAGGATGTGGGGGCCAAGATAACCCAATCTGCCAGCTTTTTGATCTCGCCTTCAGCCAGGGCCGATAACTCGAAGCCTCGCCCAATCATCTCGTCAATCGTGTCCATGCCAAGCACCTGCAGACTAAACCAAAGTCGCATATGGCGCGCGGGCCTCGTCAGCTCAATTCCATAATTCCAGGGATTCTGGGGATCCGTTTCGTTCTCGACGTCGCGGCAGAAATGGGCTGTGGATGCAAAACTCCGCAGGGGGTGGGATTTCTCGCGGAAGAGGATAGTGCCACAGCCGTACGTTTGAAAGAGCCACTTGTGGGGGTCCCAGGCGATGCTATCTGCGCGGCCAAGTCCGCTCACGAGGGATCGATGGGCGCTGGAGAATGCGGCCGATCCACCGTAGGCGGCGTCGACGTGCATCCATAATCCATATTCGTCGGCTATGTCTGCGATTTCACTCAGAGGATCAATGGTGCCGGTGCTCGTTGTCCCACACGTGGCAACAACAAGGAATGGCTTGCAGCCGTCTGCGATATCTTCGGATATCGCTTGGCGAAGACGGTCGGTATCCATGCAGTATTTTGAATCGCAGTGGATAGTCTGGACTTGGAAATCCTGCAAGCCGATGATATGAAGCGCCTTGGTAATGCAAAAGTGTGCCTCTTCTGATATATATACGGTCGCTTTGTGTCGCAGCTCAACCTGCAAGCGCTGGTCTCTGGCAACGGCAACTGCAGTCAGAGTCGCCATCGATGCCCCAGATACAAACTGGCCACCCGCAGATGGAGGTAAGCCGAACCGTTCAGCAATCCATGCGATCATGGATCTTTCCACGGCACAGACACCGGCTCCTGGCGTTGAGCTTCCCGCGTAGGAATTGTATGCGGAAGTGAGAGAATCCCCCAGCCAAGACACGGGGGTGGCTCCTGACGGAATGAAAGCAAAGAATTGAGGATGCATCGTGTTCATTCGATATGAGAAGATCTCGTCGGCGTCGCGGAGTACATCTTCCAATGACCTGCCCTTGCTCGACGGGATGTGTCTCTCGGTGTCCGAGAGCCATTCCTCACTTGGACTATTCGTAATCTTTGCAGTTTCAGGAGACATGTGGTGGTGTCTGACGCGTTCAGATAGCGTTCGGAAAGCATTTGTGACCAAGTCCATATCATGACTGTTCACCCTCTCCACTGAATTTCGGTGAGGCATCGTGTATACTATTGCCAAGTAATAGAGATATGTCGAGAGAACAGAAGGATGAAGCGTCTGGAAAAGTAAATTGGTATAAAATGGACAGGTATGGCATGTGGTTATACCTTGCTTTTCAGTTGGAGAGAAACTCAAACCGGTTGATCAGCCTGCTCGAGAGACCGCAGAGGAGTTAATTTCCAAGTAATCTGGGATTGTAGCAGGATTAGTGTTGGCCTGGTTCAAAGTTAAAGCACCGTGTGTGGTGACTTCATTAAGCCAAGTCACACTGCAGCCTCAGGCATATCTGTCTATTTACACCTGGTAATTCGTTACATACCACGCTTATGGAAATGGTGAAAGACATGACAAACCTGAGGATTAACTGATCATATTATTGCCTTCTCAGCAGTGTCTTGCTTCACTGCCACGTATGTATGTACATGCTTGCGGCTAGTCCTCATTACTATCATAAAAGCTACTCACCTCCCACCCATTGACGGAACTATAATCAGCCAGCGGCGTGGTTCCGTGAAGCACCGCGTAGTGCTTTCTGGGAACACAAGTCGTAGAGTTGCCTTCCTTACATCCATTTAGCAACCCAGCAATCCGTCTTCCTGTATCGCGACCTTCAAACCACGCCCCGTGCAAGAAACCAAAGTAGGATGGGCTGGTAGCCTCACCAGAGAACCAGAGTCGGTCGGTGTTGGCCCGCAGATTCTCATGCATTTCCAGGCTCGTTCCCATGGGCCAATTAGAATAGCTACCATAGGACCACGGCTCAGTGCTCCAGCGAGGATACAGGAAGGCCGTAGGTTCAGGAACATCCACGTCCGGGAACATTTTACGCAGGACCTCGAGAATTTCCTGCTTCGTCTGCTCGTCAGACTGGCGTTCAGCGCGCCAGGCAAACTCGTTGGTAACGGTCATGAAGATGATGTTGGATCCCGGGTGGAAACCGTCCATGGAGAGGGACTGGAAGAGAGGGTAATAGCCACGAGTGGTGGGGTCCGCGTACAGGAAGTACTGGGTGTCCGTAGGCCAGAAGGTCTCATTGAACTGCATGAAAATCTTCGTATAGGTGCCCATGGTGAACATCTGGATTGCTGTCCTCTTCCACTCAGGCAGCTCCGGGGTGAAAGTGACGGCATCGTTCTGCAGGACACCCAAGGAGAATGTGCAGATGGCGTATGCAGCTTGGACACAGTTCCCATCGCTACTGTACACCGTGACGCCTTCGGGCCCGTACGTAATATTCGTAACGATTGTATTAAGAAGCAAGCGAGGGTCATCTTCAGTCAGGAACTTTGAGGCCATGCCCTTGATGATAGTGTTAAATCCCCGCTGGTCGGTGACGAAGTTGTCGTGGTCGCTGAACTGATTCGAGGTTAAATTGCCGCTGGCGATACCAAATACCAACGAGCTTTCTAGCGGCGTGAAAGCAGACTCAAAATCTATCTATACTCAGCATTGGTACCAATCCTATTAGGAATACGAAACTCACCCCATTTCCACCAGTCGACCGCCTGCGCCTCCATGTCATGCGACTTCGGCTTCCATCCAGCCAATGCCAGTCCGGCCTTTGCTGTCTGGTCCTGAAGGTTTTCAAGAAGAATCCTGCCAGCCGCCGGGTTTGCAATATCATAAGCTTCGTCAAACTCATCCAAAAGATGAGAGTAATCATTGTAGCCATCCTGATTGTACGTCGAGATATTGCTGTAGTTCGAGTATGTCGTCTGCAGGCCAAATTCCTTGGCTAGAGTCCAGATTGGATTTTCAGGACCTCCTGGATTTCCGAGTCCTTGAACCTAATCAACGATGTCAGTGGAAGCACGATCAATGTAAGCGAATAACCCATCCGCACCCAGTTAGCACCCATTTCGACCACGTAGGGGTTTCCATCTTTGTCCTGGCCAAAGTTCTCATGCCACGCACGACCGCCGATTCGATCACGATATTCCAGGATCAGGAAATCATCCACGGACGCTTTCGACAACGTTTGCTACGAACGTCAGCGGTGTGATTTATTTCACGGTCAGAAATTCCGAATGCTTACCGCAGCCGAGATACCTGATATTCCAGCCCCTCTGAGCATCGTCAGTATAAGCCTGGAGATCATCGCCGATAGCCAGATTGGTAGCCACATACAAAATCGCAACTGTAGTCTTCTTACATGTTCCTTCCTGATCCCTAGGTTGAGACACATAGCCCACCACTGGGCGGGCCGCCCAGGCTCCCAAGGCAATCAAAGAAAGGCGGCTCAGAAACATCATGAGCAATCAAAAACGAACAGGTTCTTTGTCCACAACAATCGTCGGGCCGTGCCGGAGAGGTGTCGCCTCTATAAATGTTGCCTGCAATTACCCACTTTCCCATTCCGGCGCCGGGACACGTCCAGCCGCACTTTCGGAGAAATTGGTTTAGGGACTAGCGTTGCGAATAATTGATATAGACCGATGGGGTTTCTGCAGGCAATGCTGCACATTATTGGCGGTTGTCCTACGCGATCGGGCAGGTCCATGCGGCCATTCTGTGGCTGGGCTGTGATCGACGTACCCAAATCATCGCACAGTTTCAGGCTTTCAGCTCATGAAGCTGGTAAGCAGCATCCATAAATCCTTATCCTTGCCTCGGTAGCCGATTGGGTTCCGCTCGCCCGCATCATGAATGCAACGTTTCGGTAGCTTCCGGTTGCCAGCGAAGCAATGCAGACATTTCAGCTCCCCACCTGAACTGTAACAGCTTTTGAAGGGGTGCTGTAATTGGGTACCGAAATTCACCGGGTTTCCGATGGTTCAAGAGTTGGATTTTATCCCCGCAGCGGTGGTAGAGATAACCTTATCAGCCGTGTGGTGATAACACAGAGAAGGGAAGGATGCTACCAAAAATCCCCGGATAAGATCACGACCGGCCTATTCACCCTTAACCAGAAATAGCATGTCCAAGAGAATAGTCAGTACGATGCATGGAAGTTCCCGTTCGCCGAAATTCTCCCGCTCCTTGATTAAGAAGGGTAGCCTGTTTAGGGCAAGATGCCCTTGCGTTCACTCGCCATCTTGCAAATGCCTGTCCAGTCATTGTCAAGCAGATTTCTGTTGAGAGAAATGGCACAGGATAGAGATTATATGTAGGTATGGTACAGAACGTCCTTTTATTTATGACAAATCTCTCTTAACAATCACATCTGGGCCACTGAATTATATGCCTAAACGAGTTTTGTGTCGGCGTCATAGCTTCGCCTTTTCCTTGTCGAGGGTGGAGATCAATTTCTTCGCAAACTCCTCCGCATCAGTAATGAACCCGTTGTGCCCCCCAGGGGTAAGCTCCAGAGAAGTCCCAAGGGCGTCAGATAGAGCAATCACCGGGCAACTTGCGAGCTCCGGTGATATATCGGACCCTTTCATACAAACTAATTTGTCCCGATGCGGCCGAATATTCTCGAGGTCGAAGTGATAGTCGAGTACTAGTTGTAACTCAAACCCGAAGAAAAACGCAGTATCGTCGTCGCGTTGACACATAAGTCGTGCATAATGTGGATCCTGGCCCAATCTCCGTTGGTCACGCTTGCCTTGTACATAAGCCAGCAACACGCGGCGAATAGTCGCTGGTCCGCGGCCCCCGAACTCTAGAATACTAGTAAACAATCCATTTTTGATATAGGATTTGAATGGAGTAGGAAGATGGTCGAGAAGAAGTGGCTCGTGTAGTATGAGATGCTGCACAAGGTCGGGGCGAGACTGAAGGAGCTCAATGGCCATCGCCCCACTGCCGGACGCCGCGAAGACTGTCGCAGGCTTCCCTGGGGATAAATATTGGATTAGCTTGGCCACATCGTCGGCTTGCGCTCTCAGATGGGTCGTCGTGTCCGGTTCACCAGGAGTGACCAAGAGGCTGTTTCCGAATCCTCGGCGGTCATATAGAGCGACTGTAAAGTGGGAGGAGAGCGCCGTGGCTAACGGCTCAAACAGCATTGCGGTGCCATTTGCTCCGGGCATTGGAATGAGCAGGGGTCCAGTCCCAATGAGTTTATAGTTGAGAGAGGCGTCACCAACGTCAATGCGGGTTGCGCTAGAGCTCTTGTTCGCTTGCATCGTTGCTTTGTAGAACCTCGTGTAGGCTCTGACAGGATGAACACAGACGTCCTAAGATACCAGCACGAGCTGGTCCACCTACTTATAATTTGGCCAATAAATACTTCCCATGATTGCCGCCTTCAAAAGTGGAACAAATAGTTTATTAGCTGTAGATCCGGGTCAGCAAAGAAAATATACGGTCTAGAGCTCCTCACAACTATCCATGCTTGCAACGGGTATTGCCTATTTGAGCACTTACTTCGGTTTCTTAAGCCTCGGATAACCAATAAAGTGTTCTATCTTTCATCATCTTGTCGATGCCTTGTCTCAACATGTCGACTGATTGGTTACTTTGGCGGCCACCATCCAGTACCATCGGTCGGAAAACTTGCCATTCGATGGCCCCGTTGCCTTTAACCTGGCATGACCTCAGATCTTAGGCCCCAAGATTCAGTCCTAGTCATTAATGAGAAAATCGGATAACGCCGCTTCTATCCTTCGATATATCTCTTGCTTGCGTTTCATCAAACGCTGACGCGAGGCACAATGCGCAAGGTCAACCTGACAGAAATTTAGACATCAGAGTGCGATGCGTGCAGCCACTGCAGCGTAAGGCCATGGGCAAGGTCACATGGTCCCGGTACCACATCCGGACTAGACCGAACTCCTGGTGGTTTCACCTGCAGTCAACATTCTTGCCTGCTTTTTTCTAATCAACAGGACTTGAGTTAACCCCGGAACCTGTTCGGTGCTACGAGGGCGACTCGCTGAGACTGATGTCAAGCGTTACGCTTTGTGTGGTGACTCCCACCGTCCCCGAACCATTGTGACATCAGGCAGCCACGTTGGATCTTGTTGGTGTATCAGCTGAATTTGGTTGTCGTTGGAAAGCGGCTATGCTGACATGGAAACAGATCACGAATCTACCTACCCTGACTTCGTGGGATGAGCCCCTCTCAAGGTCCCACTTATGCATGTTGTAATGCGACCAACGTACAGATTTTGGTCAGAGATAAATAATGGAGAGCCCGGGAGTAGCACAAGAGTCCCCCCGACGGTAAGTCTTCCCACTCGGTCCATGTTGGCCAACATCGTAGGTGGGCGTTCATAGGAGGGGCGAAAGAAATGACAGGAAATTATGAATCACAGCCGTCACCCTGTTGGTTACTGGCCTAGCACTGACATCGGATCATCCTTGTATGTGATAAGGCGGGTGATAGGGCCGCCACGCAACTTAAGCGCTGTGCTGAAATCTGGCGCTTATATGCAGTATCGTCGACGCTGGTGGATTATGTTCTCCCCGCCTTTTGTAAAAAGTCACTAGTTTCTAACGGACGCTTAAGCAGGGCTCCGTCCAAAGCACTAGTCCCAACCGTAAGTGATCCCTTTGCATGATGGTGGCGTATCGTCCTATCTTAGTACTCAGTTTAACGACGCCAGTGCGGAAGGCGCCAGGTATATGCACCATTGTCCCGTGGGAAGCGACGCACATGCAGGAAGGTATTGCTCGAGCAGAATGCTCCTATCACAAAGACTAACTAACCTTTGTCCCTTGAAAAAAGTCTCCAACACGTTGGTCAGATGTGTTAGACCTGGAACCCAAGTGGGGAGTCACCGACTCCCCCAGAATTAAATCCAACCCTCTCTTGGAGTATCTGAACTTATAAATATCCGGCCATGGTCCACATCAAATACTATTATAGAACAGAATCAATTTTATTCTTGATCATTCATGAATACGAGGACACAACGTCCGAACGCCCTTCGCTTCCCAAGGTCAATTCACCACGTCTGGCCGTCTTCTTCTTTTTGCTTTCTGCGGCCTTCCTTCAAGATTGCAGCTTGTCAGTATGCAATCTCGAAGGTCCGCCATACACAAAAGTAGTGGGACGCGCCGACGAAAATCGTCATTGGGCTGCGAACCATGTCGCGAACGCCAGTCTCGTTGCGACGGAAGGAAACCCATCTGCGGGCCTTGCACTCAACGGTCGCATGCGGCTGACCGGTGTCTTTACAGACGCAACATTGTCAGGCTATTGGACACCGAGGAGTATGTTTCCCTCAAAAGGTTATCGTGGCCGTTGCTCACAGACATACAGATACCTTGAAGTCCTTCATCGTCATATTCGCGAACTGGAAGAGGCGTGCCACGAAGCTGGAATTCCAGTGCCCACATTTAACCCAGATGTTTCATCCATGGACTCAGACGAGGAGACACCTCAAATTGGCTTGGGAATCCAATTCGATACGCAGCCAGCTTTCCCAAATCATGGAAATACTCGCGCCTTTCCACCTCCAATAAAACCGGAAACCTTCCCTTCCCTTCTGACAAACCCGCAGAGGGTGATTTAAACTTACTGGAAGCCAGTAATCTCGTTGTCGGTAATGAAGGATTTTCAAAGCAACCGAATAAGTTTATCGGAAGCCCGCCTAGTGCGTGCCTAATACGTCTTTTGACCCAAGGCCCTCTGCTGAGAGATATCCCCTATGGTCCTACTCATGCTCATTTCGATGGTTCCCTTCTGCCACCACGGGACTTTGCCGACCATCTGTTGGGTTGCTTCTGGGATCGGGTTTACTGCCTTTTTCCTCTGTTTGACCGATCCAGTGTTCAGGATGCCTATGAGGGTCTCTGGACATCCGGCAACACAAAAGACCAAAAGTCGAGTGAACTCAACATCGGCCTGGGTGGCAAGTCTGACTCCGGTCGTCAGTCACCAGTCTTTATTTGTGCACTGAACATTATGTTTGCGCTTGGGTGTCACTTTGCCGATATCTCTGTTCCAGATCGGAATGCCATCGCGCATACCTTCTTTCTTAGGGCTAAACAAAATTTTGGCCTAGATCTACTCGAGGTCCGCACTTTTGGTGCTGTCCAGACCCTCTTATTGGCTGCATTGTATCTTCAAAGCATACCTGATTCCCATAAGTCTTGGGACTTGGTAGGTGTGGCGTGTAGAATTGCTCAGGGGCTTGAGCTTCACGAAAATCACCCAGGCAGCTTCAAGGACCCGCTAGAACTGGAAATTCAGCGTCGCACATGGCATGGGTGCGTCATGATGGATACGTAAGTTCAGCATTGAATTGTTGTACTGGTTCTGGTGAAAGCTAACGGGTACAGGATCGTGAGCATGGCTTGTGGGAGGCCTAGTACAACGTCTTCCTTGCCTGCCATACCATTCCCAGGGGGAGTAGGCCTTACACCTACGAGCACCAAGGAGCCATACTTGACAGCCTTCTACCCCGCTAGTCTAGAGCTGTGTAGTCTTCTAGACACTGTCTTGTCGGCTGTGCACAAAGCACGGTGCGACCGATCGAGCACCCTGGCTAGCTCAACAACTACACAACAGGACGGACTAGATGTTGTGGTTAAGCTAGAAGAAAAATTAGCCAAATACAAATCGGATCTTCCCTCGGTCCTCAGATGGGATCGTCCTTTTAACCCAGCAACTGACGTAACTCAGCTGTTGACTTTGAGGCGTCAGAGAAATGTTTTACATGCAAGGTGCGACGCCCGGTGCAATTCTCCTTCCTGAGCACCCTAATAATTGTTCTAGATTCCTTTACCTGCATCTCCGCCTCTACCGTGCTGCCTTTACCCATCTCTGCTCTGAGATGCTGGCTCAAGAGGATTCTGAGACTGATCAACATGACCCTGCCCTTCAGACGCTCTACTCATCGATGTTATCCAAGTGTGCAGCGGCCTGCACAAAAGCAGCGATCGACTTGGTCTCCCTAGTTCATGACAACTACCAAACCTCCACTACCGACACCTGGTGGTACAATGGTTTCTGTAAGTCCCACCCGGTTCGATAGGTTTCGGACGAGGCTGACCAACAGACACTTCGGTTGCGGGTATGGTCCTCGTAATGTCCTACACTTGCCTGCCCGCCCTATCCAACATCGAGAAAACTGCCGTCAACGAAGCTTGGCGTAAGTGCGAACAAATCTTGCAGTTCATGATCCCGTATCATTTTTCGAAGAGAAATACGTTGCTCTTTTTACGGGCCGCTCGTGATCGGATTCTATCGTATCTCGAAGACGCAAGTGAGACGAGTGTCCCTGACAGGGGTCCTGATTCAAGTCATGTAGATGGCATAGAGAATCCTTTCGCCGATGATGCAGACGGCTTGTTCAACGGAGCGAACTGGCTGGGCAGTGCCGTGGCTATGGTCGGACTGGGATTCCTGTGCCCGACCGATTTTAAATGGTTTCAGGACTGGCTGGCAGAGGAGTTGCCGTAAATACATGCAGTGCGACCGCCTGTTCTTTTTGTCTCGGTACTTGTTTAATTTTCACGCGCTTGTTTGATTGGTTCAGAATGAATTGTTTTACACCGTTCAGCCTCGTTGTGACTTGTCCATCCTACGAGAAGACAGCCACTTAGCGCCAGCGGCTATGCATGCGTTAGGCTGCGCTCCTCGGCCCATATAACAAGCCCCATTTGCCACGGTTTTGACCCCATTCCTTTCCCACTTTGTGTTGGGGTAAGCTCTGGGCGTACTATCGGAGTAGTTCTCGCGATGGAGCTCAGCTCCGTAGACACGCCGCAACCGCCCAAAGTAACCATCTTCGCAGATGATAGTATGGCCCAAAGCCCTAACCTTGCTTTTTTCCCCTCCTTACCACAGTACTAATTGATGTTAGACGCCGGTATACTGCGACCGCAAGAGGCTGTTGACTTGGAAGCATTTTTGACTGTCTGTATACCTTCCTACCTTCAATATAAGCATGTAACCGCTAACAGACCGCAGTCACCTCAACGATCCTCCACTCAAGTCATGTACAGATTCCTACAAGACTATGCCACTCGTCGACAACATAGACTAATGCCTTGCTATACGGTAGCTTTGCTCAACATAAATTGCTGGAGGAATATGATGCCCATCTCAGCCTCCCTGCTGATTACCGGCATACGTTCGCAGCGGACCTGAACTCCTCGTTTCACACCGAGTATGGCTTTACCGGGAGCACAATCACCCACCACAGTGAGTTCTGCCATGTAACTACTCTCACAGATGTAAGAGAACTAACAAGAGTCGCTAGTCTCATGGTCCCTGTTCAAGGTCAAAATGGTCGAAGAGCCAGGCAAATACGACTGGATCCAGGCGTCCGTCTTCATCAACTGGGATCTACACGCTAATCAGCAAAGCATCTTCTTCGTTGATGTCCCTGATGCCGAACGCAAGCAGCTCGAGCAAGCCTTTCCCACCCGGGATATGGGAGATCGAAACCCGTATATCTGGCACGCGGTATTTGCGCACGCAATGTCGAGTCTATATCACGCGTCTTTTTGGAAACAACGAAATGTCATCCGGGAAATAGAAAAGGTCTCTTTCCGCGCACCTCTTCACTCCTTCGACCTTGTTTATTGACCTGATACTAAGCTGGGAGAGTCAGATCCGAAATGCGTCCAGCGAGAACCTGCCCAAGTTCCTAAAGGGCCTCAACGATAGCGCCCGCCATGCTATGCATCTGAATGAGACCATGGAGGTCGCGGAGCATACCATGAACAGGCTGCTTACTGAGCATTCACGCTGGAGAGATGAGTTTCCCGGGTATGTAATGGGGGAGAACAATGCCATCCGCGGCACGTATTTCCATACGAGACAGAAATTGGCCTTCGTCGCGAAGGAAATCCATTCGGCTAGAGTTAGGTCCAGGACTCTGTCGGATCGGTTGGCGGGCGAGATTCAGCTCGTATGTTCCTCACTCTTATTTCTCTCTTCTTCCCCACTCCCATACCGTTATTCTTTCCCTCTTTTCCTTTTATTAGTCGATTCAATTTAGCACACTATAGCAAACCCTCCTCTCAATAATGCTTCGAAAAGAATCCTAACAAGAACGCAGGCAAACACCCTCGTCTCCCACGAAATGAGCCGCCACACCCGCTACGACAGCATGATAATGAAAACCCTCAGCTTCGTCGGTATGATGTATCTACCGGGGACATTCGTTTCCGTACGTTCACCACTCTGTTCCTCTCCATCT